ACAAAAATACAACAAATAGAGATGTTGATGTAGTGTGGCGGTATTCTTCCTTAACATGAAAGGTTCTCTCGTGTAGCACCGTTAAATTCAAACAGGAAGAAATAGGCAAACAAAACAGAACTGTGCTTTATAGAAACTGGCTTCAAGATCCCTACTTCAATGCTGTATATTTACCCACCCTTTGTAGGGTTTCCACCTAGATGATATGAACTACTATCACAGTTGACAGTTTAATAAAGGTATTGATTGATTGATTGATTGATTGATTAATTGATTGACAGCTGAACACACTAAAAATAAAAGGAGACGGCAATCGCTATCTGTCACTCGCCTCTTTATGTTTAATAGCCAGATGTAGGCATACGTTCCCATAGTTATCAGGGCTGTTTAACAAGGTCCGGATTGATAATCCACCATATTTGGCTGTAAATAAAGAAATATCGGAAATAAATATTTTTTATTTATAGACTTCTGTCCACTCTGTACAACAGTTGAGGTACTGGGCGAGTAGAGACTAGGCTAGAAAGTTTGGGACTCTCGCTCCAACTTTCGCGAAATAACTCGTCCGATTGGAAACCGACTTACTATGTGGGCTTAGTAGAGACCGTAGGTGGAATCCAAATCTGATAGCCGAAGTCTGATTAATTAATACAGACGTGAATGGGTGACAATTATGATAGCTATAGATTTTTAATCATAACTTCAATAAAATGTTCGTGGCTCGTCGTGGTTTTTATACATTTGAATTGAATTCTAAGGTTTTCACTGGTTAACCTGTATACTGATTTAACTTAGGTAATTCAAGGATTAGAAACCTAGCTAGAGAGCAGCTAATCCTGGGCTTTGATCCTAATTGCTCACATGTTACTTAGACATAAAATCATAGCGCAGTTTTCAATCATGCTTAACAGTTTATATGTATTACTTTTTCTAACATTTTTTTTTCACGTTTCCTTTTTACAATGTAAGGTTTTCTAAAATTGGGTGGACTAACTCGTATAGTTCTTGAGTCCCCTACTATTCCTTATCTGAAAGAGCCTTATATACTACACAACAGCAAAACTTGGACGGAATAATACGTAGTATACTTTGCTATTCGCAATAATACGTTTGAAATAGGAGCCACGTAAATAGAGTTGTTCAATGGTCACTGCCTTTGAACGTTTTGACGTTTCCATGTTTTTTTTTTGTTGTTCATGAAAAACATATCTCTGAAAGAAGAGGTGAATTTCCTGCTGCCAACCGTAACATCCATAACTGATTATAAAAACAAACACTCCCATTCACAGGTGGTAAACGTCGATCAAGTGTCCCATAAATCCAAAGAATTGGAAACAAGTGTTAATTAGTTCAAACTCTTTTTTTCCGTAATAAAATAAAGTTTTTTTGAGTCCATAGTTTTCCATTTTTAACAACGTATAAATGACGCGACGTGAGGAAAATGTATCTCATTCATGCGCGTAATTGTCCTTGCGCGCGAGCGAATCAGTTTTTTTAAAAAATAATGTTTTTACCTTCTAATAAATTTTGAAAAAAGTTGGCACACGAAAAAATAGGTTTTAGAAAAGTATCCGAGCCTATGCAAATGAAGTGACATTTGCTTTATATAGCTTTGATTGTAAAGAATTCCAAAATATAATCTAACCTTTTCTAAGCATTTCTTTGAAAGCTTCAACATGACCATCTCTTGCCGCAAGATGAAAGGGTGTGTAGCCATCGTTATCTCGAAGAGACATGTCTGCCCCATACAATACCTACCAAAAGATAGCACACTATGGATAATTAATATTTGTTCAGTTTTCATTAATTTTAAAACTAAACATCGACTGTCCTTGGCAATTCCTTTTTCAAAAGCCCTGCCGATCCATATGGGCTCCAGACATAGTTCAGTCGATTAATCAATTTATCTCCGTGAATATGGCACAGGTGTGACTCTTGGTTCCGATCTGAGGTGAGTTGGCTCATTCTCCGGTATTTACTCCCTCCATAAGGATTAGACCAACACTTCCGAATAACATTAGACCATTTCAGGATTGCTCAAGTCATTTTTGAAAAGGGGAAAAGTTAGAAATCGGAAATGAAGCATTCGACCAGGGACATGGTTGATGAGGAACCAACGTGTAGCTCCACTTGTGATAAATCCTTGTTTTTATCATTTTTGTAAAGTCAATTAGAACGTGTTACAATTATTATCGACAGTCTCATGAATAAGCGCAACCTTTTTCCAAAATTAATGGAACAGAGAATTAACTCCGGGGTGAAAACCCATGTTGATTTTTGCAGCACTCCTTTTTTTTACTCCGGTTAATTCTCTTTTCCATCATTTGACTCATAGTTCCACCAAACGAGGCACAACATTTCGTTTCCATGAATAATCCTGACTGCTCATAATTGTCTTATCATTCGATCACCGAGAATGGACATCTTCGAGAGGCGAAGCGATCTGCCATTTTCACGCAAGAGTGATCGCAAGAAGGAGAAAAGTGAGGTTTTATTTAGAGCAGAATATTATTTGCAGCCAAACCCAATTAGACGACATTGCGCATGAGCAGACCATTATTTGTAGGCAATTACTTGCAGGTCAAGCGGTGGGCTCTCGGCCAATGAAAAGAAAGAAAATTTGCATGGGATGATAATAAGTCTTTTAATTAAAATTTATTAACATTGAATGACTGACCAGCTTTTGAATGACTTGTGTTTGACCCGCCTGTGCTGCAGCATGGAGAGGAGTAGCTTTATCGTTATCTTCCAGATTAACCGGTGCTCCTCCGTCGTTCAAAAGAACCTTAACAAGTCAAATAAGCAAGTGTAGAGTATTAAACGTTCGTAGGCCAATGGTTTGAACAAGAGATATATTAGAGAACTGATCCGGGTTGGTTTCAAATCTCTGGCTGTGAAACTTTATTTTACATAGCGTGTTTTTAATAGTCACTAGTACAATTAGGTGCTAATGACAAATAGATAGCTACTTGCGTCATCACCTGCTCAAAATATCGATCTTCATGTGGTACTTTAAGTTATCAGTTGTTCGCACAATTCTTGTTTACATGAATAGGTGCATGAGTGGACGGATGGACGAATGGATGGATGGATGGATGGATGAATGGATGGATGGATATAGATGAATGCATGGATAGATGGATGCGTGGATGGTAGGATGGATGGATGGATGGATGGATGGATGGATGGATGGATGTAAATGGGTATCAGTTATGGCCACTGATAGCAGGTTATTTTGCATTTTATTAATTAAGCTATCGCTCTGGCTGGAAATTAAAATTTAATGAGCGGTTTATTTCTATCACCGAGAGGGTATTGTAAGTTTTCCAGTTAAGTCTTTCACAGCAAAAAAAGATAATTCACTCTTATGACTCACCTCTAAAACACGAGTATGGCCTTTCCGGGAAGCATAGTGGAGGGGTGACTGACCACTGCAATTTTTCTTCTCGACGTGTGCACCTCGTTTAATGAGCAAACGGCACGCTTCTGGTGAGTCAAACTTGCTGGCGCAGATCAGCGGTGTCGCGAAGGCGCTCTCCTTTGAGGCGTAAGCATTGACATCTACCAAGAAAAACTCATATTCAAAGCCGCTGTGTCATGGTTTTTTGGGTCATGTTGTTATTAAAAATAAGAAATTACTTGTGAATGACAAAATCACAGCATTGTGTCAAACGAATATGACTCAGAAGCATTATATCAAACGTTGCAAACAACAAAAATGAAAAACTGTTAAGCTAACAAGTTTTCAAAAACCACAATTGCAATACGTTTCAGTCTTCTTTTTCTGTTGAACCAGTTTGTCCTTCCCTGTCTCCTTTTGTTCATGTATTATGTATCTGACAACTGGTTTTAACATCTTCTTTTCATGTTTTGATCAGTTACTTTTTAGTTTCACTCAAATTGGTGGCAGTTGTCACTGTTTGAAGTTTGACAATTTCCATGACACAGCACCTTTAATTAAGTAGAAAAAGTAATACAGAAATACGGTATCAGAATCCCACTCCGCCCTCTGACTGGGTTTGTTTCTCAGAGTGAGAAATGAACCCCATTTCCAACCCTCTGCACGATCATCCTTTCAAAGAGCAAAAAGGTTTCCTCACCCGCTCCAGCGTCCAACAGTGATTGAATAATTTGAAGAGAGTTTCCCCTGGCCACGTGATGAAGCGGTGTGAGGCCATCTTTGTCTTGTTCTTTACAAGCTGATGGGTTCTGTTTGATCAATTGTTCCACCACACATGTTAAACCATCACGACATGCCTGGAAGATTAAGGACGCAAATTTATTTCATAGCATGGTATTTCAAGATGGGTAAATAAAGAAATCCACACATCACACTATGGTTCGGTACCCCAGGTCGTCTTACACCAGATTGAACTGAAATGCAGACGAACTTCCCCTAAGCGACCACAGAAAATAAGCTTAGAAACAAGCTCAGGTTCGCTTTGAAACAGAGGGTTGGGGCAACTCGAAATTACAATTCTATTAAATGCTTCTTAAGGTGAAAGTTGAATAAGATGATGAACTTTGCCATGATTTGCCTATTTTGTCGGTTTATTTCTGTTTTCAAGGTGAGTCAAACTTCGGCTTTCAAAAACCTCTTTCACTAGTTTAAACCGCCAAAACTTAACAACTAAGTTTGTTATCGTGTCGAAGCCTGGGAAAGTTAAAAAGCGCAGTCATTCATTCATTCATTCATTCATTTATTCGTTTATTCGTTTATTCGTTCGTTCATTTATTTATTCATCCATTTATTCATTCACTCATTTTGAAAACGGCTACTTTCATCAGCATCAGATGAAGTAAAGTCAACAACACTGACAGAATTCCACGTAGAACAGTACTTTTTTAAAATATAATTAATTATTCATGCAGTAACAATAGCCTAAAGACAAAAGGCGACTCCGAGGCTTTAGGGACATAACTGCAAATGAAGGAGAGCGCTTCCTATTTGAGTTTCTTTTTACCCCTCGGGTATCGCATCACCAAAATTCCTATTTCTAAGGTCCTAGCTGAAATCGCAAGGAAAGTGAACGATCCCTTCATTTTCTCTCTTTGCTCATCTGGGTGAAAAATGTTCACTCAAAGAAAGGCATTTTGCCTTGTAAGAAGCCTGAAATGCAGTCACCATACAATTAACCCGGCAAACCCAGGCGCCGGGCCAATACTCAGGGTCTTAAAATACTGACTTAGAAATTAAGGTATTGCCTTTGCCCTGCAAATGGCTAGACCTTCGCCGGGTGGTCCGGATGACCACGTAAAATGACGGCTCGTCTCCGGAAGGAGAAACTCGGAATTTTGTGCTGAATGCATTGACAATCAAATAAAGTTCATTTTTTTCTCGAGTATGTCCATATGTAATTGTATCTGCAAATACCAAGATTTACGACATAAAAGTGTTTCTCATGAATTTAACTCCATTATTAACGCAGTAGTCATGATAGATTGCGTGCTGCGTCTTATCAAACCATCGCTTTTATCACTTTTCTAGCTTATGCTTTTAAAATCATTAATTAGTAGATCTCAGCACTTTTTGCGTTGGGCATATTTATTTGTAAACTCTTGTTCATTAACTCTTTTAATAATACCTCGTTTAAGCCATTGAATATATCATCAGGACAAGCAAATTACTAAGGTTGATGGATTTTTATGAGACTAAAAGTAATGTCAACATTTACAAAATTGAAGGCATTTTAGTATGATGTTATATACTTTAAAAATATGCTGTTATGGGTGTTACAAATGTTCAGTATTACTTATTTTCCCCAAAGTTGCCTGTAGTTTAATCACAAGAAAACGTAATGCAAAAAATAAGTGTGCGACTCGGTGAACGAGAGAAATGATCTTGCATTGAAGTTAGAAAGTTAATTAGAAATTGAATGTGAGATTAATACGACCCCATATGTCCCGCACAATATAATTCTCACAGGCTTTTCCTCCATTTTTAACTTGGAAGAAATCCCAAAGAAAAGGAAAAACTCTAAACATCTAATGAATGACTTTTGATTCTAAGAAGGTTGGAGGTTACTTTTCCTTATGGTTAGTCCATTTTTCGTCATTGTTCCTGCACAAGCAGTTGAAATATGAATGGCTTTGCAAAGTTACGTAACATTTTTTTGCTCCTTTGAAAAGGCGCTTAAGATATTTTTGTGGTCCTTGCTTCATACAAGTCTGCGTTCAGTAAACGTTCTTGCGAGGGCTAGGAGTGGAGAGAAGCAAAGAGATCATCTTTTTTGTGCTTACTGTCTTTGAACTTTTATTCGCCATGCATTTTCACGTCATAAAACTTTTTAAGAGAGGATCAAGCTTCAGGGCAAGAGGGGGTCATGAAAAATATTGAGTTCTTGAAAAATCAATTGCAAGGAAATCTAATGAAAAAACATGAATTTGGCGATAAAATCTTGGTTTACATTTTTTACCTATTGTTAAGATGCGACATATTGTAAATCGTACTTCGTTCGAAAAATTTGCCTTTAACTTTGTACCTTTTTTTTTTGTTTTAAGATTGATGTTATGATTATGACATGAAAATATAAGAATATCACGCTGTGCAAGGTGAAAGAGAGCACGTTAGACGCCGTTACAGCGTGAAAATAGCCGTTTGTTTGTCTATGACGTTAAGAAAAATACACTGTAAGACGGAATCCATTTGGAAATTGAGTAACGTTAATTTTCAGTGGACAAAAACCCTGTACCAGAATAATTTTAAGCATATTGCATCCCCTTTTACACTTTTCGAGGGCTAAAAATGTAATAAGTTAGATGAAATAACACCTAGAAAACGTTCTAATGGGAGCCCGAGAAAATAAACTTCAAATGCTTCAAATTTCACAAAATGAAATCTTAACGGCATGAAGATTTTACCGGCGTTAGTTTCCTCAATTCCTGTGAAATTTTAAATATTTTCTCGGCTCCCATAAGAAATTGTCGTTGGTGTTATGACAGATAACTAATTATATCTATAGCCCTTACTTGAAAAGGGTAAAAAAGAATGCGATATAGCTTAAAATATTATCACTGGTACAAGGTTTTTGTCCACTGAAAATTGACATTACTCACTCGACAGACAAAAAGTATGTCACTGGAAATATTTTTGATATTTAATAACTTCAGCTGCTATTGTTATAAAAGTGAATTATATATGCTCCAAGAGATTGCCAGTGGCATTCGATTCTGTTAGTCCATGACTTTATGACATAGATAACATACTCGAAATTGTTTCTCAGTGGCTGGAATATAATTCATTTTATACTCGACTGGAAGATGCTTTCTCTCTCACAACGTTAGTCATGCTAAGTATCAAATTAACTAGAACATGTAATTAGTGGAGTGTGACGCTTCAAGTAATTCAAATTGTTTTTTTTTTTTCCTCAAAGTAATTGCGTTTAAACTGAACCTGTAGAGTTGACTTGAGGGTGACAAATGTAGAAATTAATTTCATCTATAATACTTTCTCGAAGTCAAAGAGTAAGAACTATGTTCCCGTGATGTAGCTACATCTGTACAATACAGTTTCTCCTAGTTGTATTTTTTAAAGTAACAAAGGATTGAGTTTTACTATTATGTACTATTTTGACGTCGTACCTGATGTAGTCCCATGCGCTTGCATGGGTTTCGCTCCACTGTTTCATCTATGCTCCTTTGAAGTGAATTTTCCGCCAAAGAATTATCTGAAACCCTTCGAGAATTTCTTCCACTCAACAGACTCAAACGCAGCGACATTTCACTGCTGTCACTTAATCCTTCCAGTTGAATGTACTGAGAGTCGACTAACATCTTACTTGACATCATGCAGATAAATGATCACGGCACATCTTTGTGAGTCCCCGATCTAATCAGTGGTTGGTCCAAATAGAATGACAACATAGGAGAAGATAATTAAGATGTATTTGCTGTTACTGAACTTAGCAAGTGCAACTCATTTTCATAACAATTACAATCAACTCTACGCAACTTATTTTTAATGGTCTCAGATCGAGCGGTGTACAGGAAAACACAATTATGTCCAAAATAATTACTTTTCTAGGACAAAGACGACCCTTTTTGGAAAATAATGTTCAACGTTGTGAATAGACGAAAAATTAGAAAATGACAATTAATCTGCTGTAATAGAAAACGGACGACTAGAGTCTTGGCCTTTTTTCGTTAGTGAAATCTATATATGACGAATTATTTGTCTATAAGATATAAATCTTATTTCCGTTCTTCTCAAAAATAATTTACGAAAGTACTAAGCACGCTTCGTTATTTCTCAAGAGGTCTAACAATTTTACTTAAGGCAACAACGGGGGACCCAAAACATTGTTCAATATTTTAGCGTTGCGGCGCTAGAAAAAGCACTGGTACAATAAAAAATGGGTAATAACAAATACATAGAAAAGAACTGGATTTAGCTACAAGCATCTGTCTATATTCTATCTGCAAATGACGACTTTAAACCCCTCATTAAATAAAAAGGTAGAAATAAGAAAAATTTCTTACGTCATAAGAAGATGAAAGATTTAAACTTACAAAATATGATATTTTTGGCTGTCAAATGTTTGTAGTTTCCACCGAGAAACTTTCCGTGACGCGAACTACTCCTAAGTTCCACTTTGACGCCCGACTGTGCACATTAAATAAAGCTGATTTCTTAAATTCCGTGGATACGAATTTTCAATAAACCTTTATTTATTTATACTTTAATGTTATCTGTGTCCCCTTCATTTAATTAAGGCGATGGTGGCATTTGCAGAAAACAAACAAAAAAGGCTTGCTCATGTTAATCCCAGCATGACCCACCTAGTGTTTTAGAATATTTCTCTTATATCTCAGCGGTGTCAGCAAATTTTGGAATAAGTGATTACCTCATGTCCTTTAATATCAATATATATGTTTTTCAGATTTGAACATAAAACAGCCTCTGGGAATGTAATTGTTTTTGGTTGAAAATGACAAGTATGACATGTATTAGTAGTTCAGTTTTCGATCAATTTAAAAACGTAATTATGTGGTTTGACTTTGAGTAAAAGAATAAACCTAAACATTGAACTTCACTCACTAAGTATCAGATCACTTGACCGAAAGACGAAAATATGAAAAATCGAAGAAAATTCCCTTGTTTTTAACCTTTTTATTGCATGTGTATAAAACGTTTGAATTATTTATCACAAAGGTCAAGCCAGTATACAGAACTCTACTGACTCGATATTTTTAGAGAAGAATTTATAACCAGCAAAAAAATTTAATTTGTCAGAAACAGTTTCTAAAACATTTAGGCAACGATGAAAAAAGAAGTAGTTGTTCCTAAAGAAAGGGAGTTATCAGTTAATGTTCCTTATTGTTCGATTATCCATGGCTTTCTATAAAGTTTACTTTTCAGTCAAAAAGTAAAATGTACTCGTTTGACACTGACAGTTTTCTTTGTGACATCTCTTTTATAATTGTATATGCAAAGTGACCACTGCAAGTGGCTATTAAGCTGCTCGTTTTCAGTAACCTAAGTGCCAAATCACATCAAACTAAAAAGGCAACTTCACCTTATTAAAAATCTGGTGTTATATTTTTGCATTGTTCTTGAAACAAGTAACCTTCCTACGCAAGCGTTTTCAGGGGAGCTGAGGACACTGAATGCGAGCTTCCCTAAAAACGCCTGCTTGGGAGACTATGAAACAAGCTGCATGAAAAAAAAAAAGTTCTAGTCACTTGTCGCCGTCTAAAAAGACCTTATATTTTTAATGTGCTATGCCATCAGTTCGGGATCAGTGGAAGACAAAAATGGCACAACCCTCGGGCATTATGAACTGGCAATACATTTTATCCTGTTTATACTCTATGTGAGTCTCCTTTCTTTGTCGTTGCGGAGATTTGATGATTATCGGCCGAATAATAAGAAATTACTGCAAATAGCCCGCTTGTAAACAATGGACATTCCCTCAAGGGACTGACGCACGATCGAAAATTTACTCATTTATGACAGTATATCAATGGAAAAAATCAGTTCAAGTTTCATTTCTGCCTCTTTCGTTGATAGCATTTCGGTAGGTGATTAAACTTTGAAGTTCATGATAAGAAGAGCAAAATATAATACGCGTCAAGCACTTTTCTTTTCTCACTTAGTTTGTAACTTTTTTTCTATTATAAGGTAAGGTAAAACGGGCAACAAAAAACGTGCCACTTGTTTTGTAATAACTTTGCTTCCATATGAGTTGAATAGTGATGTTGCCCGTTTAACCACCAACGAAAAACAACCTTGCAACCTTATTTGTTGCACTGACAAGTTTGAGCGTGGATCAGCGTAAAATACGCAACACCTTTTCAAACGTTTGCAGCAATGTTGCAAAACATTAGTTGCACGTCTTTGTTTTCCGTTTTACTGCAGCTTTTTAAAATATTTCTATGCTATGGTCTTATTGAGCTATCTTCATTCTTTGAGTTACTCGGCGCTTTGTGTTCTCTCCTTGAGCTTTGAATAAGTTTGCAACTCAGTATTCACAGGAAAAAAAGCAAGAAGACAATAAATCCTATTCATTGACAACATACTGTGTAGTTTTATAGCACAATCAAAAACATTATATTTGTTGAGGTGGGCATCATGTGTTCAGAATAGATTAGATTCAAGTGCGCGTGCAAATGCTCTTGACAAATCAAAATTCGAGTCGATGTCCGTAGAACGTAAGAAGTCACTGCTTTCCTTGTGACGTAAAGAACGCGCGCGCTTATAAGATCTGCAACTGCAAAGAAAAAGCCAGATCAGCTAAAATGTTGTCTACTTCAGGGAATAGCTGCATTTGTAGCAGCTGCTTTTCAAGAAGTTATAAACTTTACGACGGTCGCCCATGGGTGGCAAGGAAAAAAGGAAGCTTCAAGCTCCTGAGTCAACCAGCCTCTGAACAAACAGAGAAAGCTAGAGAGAAATGGAGAAGATACTTAGCAAGAAGTGCAAAGGAGAAAGTAAAGGCTCAGACTAAATTAATCTGCAGGAAGATAAGGGTATTAAAATCTGCTGCAGAGAGAGCTGTGGTTGTTAAGGAAATACGTCGCTCTGAGGTGTTTTTAGAAAGTCCTACCAGCTCAGAAGACCGGAAGCCGATTTTGAATCTGAATACCAAAAACTTCTGGGATTTTGTGTATCAGCATCAATGGAAAGGAAGAATAAGAGTGTGTGAAGGCGAACTAATGTACAGAATAACGGAGACGCTTAAGAAGCTTGTTAACCTGAAGGTGATTTCAGATTTCAACGTGACCAGGCTGTTTACAGCTGAATACAAGAAAAAAGATGTCGAAGAAGATAGTACCTCAATGCTCAAGGTAGGAATGATAAACTGGTAAATTTAGGTTATATATAACGCAGTTCTTACAGCAAAGGTGGCAACGTTTTCTCATATATAGTTTCAAATTTTCAAAGTTTCCAGTTCAATTCAGTTATATTGTATAGCTGGTCTGCTAAAGAGGGACTAAAGCAGGTTATAAATTAAAAAGCCGTAATTATGGCTGCCACCGTTCGGAGTTAAACCTAGAAAAATGTTTCAGTATTTAATACTAGCTGAACTTAAATGCTTCACTGAAAACCGCAAAATCAATGAGAAACCAATTTGTATTATGCTACTTACGCCAACCGTAAAATGGCATGCAACTTTGCCGACGGTGGGCGCAGGCACAAGAAAAAAATAAAACCATCAGTGAAAATCCAAAATCTGGACTCAGACATCTGATCTTCATTTCTAGATTCATCCTGCGATTTCTCTATTGGCTGAAAGGCGAATCGTCTCGAAATCGTCGATAAACTAAACATTTATACGCTTCGAAGCTAAAACCTAGAGAACATTGTTTCCTCTAACGTCGCTGAACAAAAGACACATTTTTGATCATGTTAAAGCCAGCTTTTCAGGTTGCGATTTTCTCTGTGAGTTTAATGCATAAATATTCTGGACAATCAAATTCAAAAGTTTGAATATGTAACTTATAAACATTGTTTCTTGTTGAACTTCAGTTTCAAGAGTTTGTTGTACGAGTCCACCAGACATATTATGGGGGTGAGCCACGGAAGCCCCCCAAAATGGTGAAATTTAACTTGGTACCAAACAGCGTCTTCACACCCCGTCTAAAATGCACCTCACCAATTCTCAAACGGAATGGGCCTGTAACGTCCTGTAAAATTCCACATGCGCCCCAAGTGGACGTGGCGTCCAGTCTTACTTCGAAAGACGTGATTAATTCAAACCAATGGAAATCTGTCAGTGATGACATAATCAAGGATGAATTCACAAGCGTTTGCCTTAAGGCAACCAAAGACTTTGTGATGGTAAAAGAGATGATTACTAATAGCAAAACACTTAAGACCTCTACTAGTTTTACCTTACGAAGAAAGGAAGGTCTGTTTGGAAACAGTGGGATTGCGGTTACTATGAAAGATTATTATACCTCATCCAGCCTCCCCGAACACTCTTACGACGCACAAGAATACAACGCTACTACCCCATTCCTGAAAATGGTAATATAGGTCCTTCAATTCCTTTAAATGTAGAACCGAACATGTACAAAATCATTAATAAAGATGAAATATAGATCTTAGTTTGGAATGATTTTTTAGAGACGCATTAGAAATAAAATTATCCGTCAGAAAAAGCCAAACATCTATTCAAGTATTTACTCGAAATGTTTGCATTAATTAGCTGAAAAAAAAATTAATTTCAGAAAGATGTTACTAAAACGGGGAACGGCGAGGCGTAGCACGAGCACGGGGAACGGGAAAATGACAAATGGGAACAAAACCTAACTTGCACCCTAGCCCTACCAGTAACTTCGTTTCCAAATCTTTGCTTGTCCCTTTTTGTTATTTTCCCGTTCCCCGCTCCCCGTTTTAGTAACATCTGTTTGCACTCGACCTCGCCTAATACATGATACCCAGCTGAAGCCAACTCAAGTTTCCTTCCTTCCACACCTTTATTGGCCATTCGGTCCATTGATTTCTACTTCGTAAAACCATGCCGTTATATGCTTTCAAAGCTTTCAAACAAGTGTTCGTTTGTGTTAAGACTTTGCCCTATAGCTGAAAGATCCTAAAAGGCAATGTGAAGCGGAAGTTTTATTTTTAAGCTACGAGATGAAAGTTGTAAGATCTTGTAAGCGACGCTTTAGGGTTTCTTTTGGGGTTTCAATTTCATGGAATTTAGCTGAGTATTTAAAAAAATCGTCGCGGATGTATTCAGAGGGGTCCGGACCCCTCTTACGTTTCGCATGGATCCGCCACTGTTAGTTCGCCTTAGTTAACGTTAGACCCTTTTATATTGAGAAACCGTGGAGGAAGGGTCACCCGCCAACCCGAGCTATCCGTACCCTAGGGGAGCCACATTTTCCTACATTTCTTTACAAAACGTACTGTGTGGCAAACCGTTTACATGACAAACAAAAGTTGGCTCTGCTAGCTACAAGGGTCACCCTCCCAGACAGGCCAACATTTCTCCATATAAACGCTTCAGGTTTGCCCAGCCGGGTTAACTTGGTCAAGGCGAGACAATCAGAGCATGCGCGAGCGCTGGTGGCTCAGGCAAAGGGGTCAACTTTTTTGTCTTATTTAAACGCTCGCTAAAATTGACTCGGCTGGCCAGGGGCCTCATACTACCCGCAAAAGGGGCCTTAGACGTTTTAGACGCATTGCACTGAGTCTGTGTTAGAGTGAGAGCTTTAATGAATATATTCTTTAGTAAATAAAGAATCAACAAAGCGGAATGTAACATTGAACGTTACAGTGATCAACATTCCTCAGAAAAAATCGGTTGGTGTTTTGACCATTGAAATGAAAATATTTGAAAAAAATCGTACTGTAGACTCTACACCAGGGGCATGGACACTTAGTTGCCAAATTGTTTCCATCCTCATTCGGTTGTTACTATGTTAATTTTTTTCAATTTAAGGACAAGTAAAATCACTTATTAAACTTATTCTTAAAAAATTTTCCGCGCGTTTTAGCAAGTGGCTGTAAATTTATTTCTGAAGCAAATGCACCACCGAGCCACACGCTTCCTCTATAGTACATAAAAACATGTATAACTTGTTTGAGGGAGCAAGAACAGGTCACGTTCATTCGTCCATAACAATAAAATTCTCACAGAACTGACAAAATAAGAAACAGCTGAAAATGAAATCCTGCAACTCCTAGTCACAATTTCTTTCATTATTCATGGAACAGAAAATTAATGATTTCATTGGTTAGGGCTTTCAGTGAATTTGTGAAACTATTGTCGTCGAATAGAATTAATGTCTTTAGCTAAAGTTTAGCAGGTGTCGAAAGTGTCACTTCTTTGGGAAGTGCTACAAGCCTTGTCTAATTAATAATATTCGTGAAGAGCCAGTAAAATACAACTTGCGGTTGTTCACTATTCACGTACAGGAACTCTTTATCGCTGTTTACAAAAATGATGAGTGCAGTTGCGTTTAGTTCTGTTCAAATCAGACAAAAAATCTTTTGCGGAAGTTGCAGCGATTCATGGCCAGTGATTCAAAGATTCAACAGCAAAAATCTGTGAACTCCCGAACGAAAACACTCTTGCGAGTTAGGAGCCTCGCTAAGGATGAAGAAATGGAGAAAATCTTGGAAGAAATTGATAATCGCAATAAATACAGTCCTTCGACCAAGAACTCTATAAAACGGCAGCCTATCGAAAGTGGTGGAGGAATTCCACCGGAGGAGGAACTTAATGAACTCTTTGTAGATGTCGAGAAACGAAACGCAGAGTTGCAAGAACTGCTTCTGGCCGTTGAAAGTTGCAGAGATTCGGAAAGCGAAGGCCAGCGATCAAGGATTACGTCAGCTGAGACAAGACGGAGCACCGATACCTTGGTTGAAAAACTCTTGGATGACTTGGATGATGTCGGATTTGAGAAAGGCCAATTCAACTACAGACCTACTGAGACGGCAAATGGTTTCAATAATACAAAGCCTTGCTCCGCAAAACTTAAGGCTAGCGCTAGCGAAGAAGAACTTGATCATATGTTGGCTGAACTGCTGGACCTCTAATTAAGATGTACTCTGAATACCAGAGGTCTTCTCGATCATCAACGGCGAGAAAAGAGCCAAGTTCGAGATTCGCTTTCCAGGCTTCGGCGCTCAATTCCGTCACCTCCAAAGAGAAAAATGCCTCTGGCACCCAGGATAAATGAAATGTCGCGACAGAAAATTGAACTTTTGAGTCAGTTGGCTTAATGAACACTCGTCTGATATATTATAGACGACATGCTTACAAATATTCTTTTCTTCGTCAACGATAAAACATTGGGCAACGCCGCTTAGAATTTTACTCCGTGGAGCTTGAGAAAAAGAGGACCATCTCAGGGGAAAAGCCAGAAGACAAATATAAAATACTTTAGTCTTTAATAGCAAGATATTTCCGATCCGTTTTTTCTTTTTGCGAGTTCATAAATGTCTTTTTTCCAAGCTTTGACATTCTTTTAAAGATGATTTGTTTCCTATAGTTACCCACCCAGAAAGAAAAAATACAATAAACTGTGTTTCGATTACACTGCATTATTCATTTCTAATCATTGTCTTCTTTTTTCTTTGATTATCACGCCTATCAGAACAATTTAAACATCGTGACCCTGTCAAGCGTTTACCATTAACACCACACTGCAAGTATGCCCAAATCAATTACTAAATAAAAAGTTAAATGTGTCACTAAGGATACAATTTGGGTCGAATAAACATGTCACATTATTTAAGTAGGGTACTTTTAAGGTATAAATAATAGAATTTTTTCTATATTTCGTTTTTGCTTTAAATTGGCCTCCTAAATCATTTAAATTAAAAATTTATGTTTTTGTCCTGGGAAATATTTCCACAAATTACTAAGAAAACACCAGCAGTTCAGGGAACTGAAAGTGTAATTAGAGCCTGTTTATAAAATGAGGTGAGCCGGCCTGGATAGCCTGGCTGGCTCGGTTCTTGCCTTGTTTTCCATGCCTCTTATAATTGTCTTTGTGTTTATATGAGAGGGTGGAATGGCCCGCATGTCGAGATCCCGGTTGCTCCCCAGACTCTGAATAAACCTCATACGCCACAGTGAAATAAAACACATCTGCGGAGTGCGAAAGGAAATAGGCTTAACTTCTGATCTGAAGTCGGGGTACCGATTGAACGCAATGTACGTTCTAAAAAAACAAAAAAGAAATCTCTTTGTAAAGAAACCTGGTTTTCAGATGATTGCCCTAAGTAGTTCTGAACAAAGTCTTAATGATTATACTTGGGGCAAGAGAGGATGACCCTGTAGCCACCCGTGCTGATTTACGTCCCTAAAAACCACTTTTGACTTCACCAGTTTCAACGTTCAAGGAGTCAAGGATAATAGCCCACGTTCAATATATTAAAATTCTAACATACTCCGAGGCTTTAGACCCTGTTTACATGGAGTGGGGGACCCCTGTCTAGTGGGGTAGGTTTCTTTTGTTTTGTGTCCCCCTGAGCGTGAAAACAAAAGAAACCAACCCCACTAGACCGGGGTCCCCCACTCCATGTAAACAAGGTCTTAGAGGCAAAATTGCCATTTTTTTTCGCGACTTTCTTCTCTCGTAATTCCCAGAAGAGCTTGAACACAAAGAAAACCAAACTAAATATGAAAAAATGAGCAAAACGCCTCAGAGTCACGTTAGAATTTTAATACATATCGAACAGACGACTTCTGGGAACAAGTCTATGGCATTAAACATGCGTTATGAAGTCAACTTTTACAAAGATAAAAGTTTATGTATTCCCATACGAGAAAACGGGAAAGGAAACAATCTTCCGTTTACAGGCCGATCGTTTACAGGTTTACGTCGTTCACCTGTGTATGTTCGGACGTCAACCGGTATACGCTTGGACGAAGCCTTTTTTGATTCATCACGTAGTTGCAAATGCAATGGCGAGAGGGATCATCTGTTTACTAGTTTGGATTTCAGCAGAAGTCCATCACTTTTCAGTTAAAAATGAAAAAAGATCTGTAACAAGGTTTCGTGGCTTTTAATTTTTCCCCTTATTTATATACAGTTATCCCTGACTACCAAGTGTTTAAGTGTGATGTCATACATCGTCTTTAATATCTTCGTTAAATTTATTGTTTCTTTGTATACCTAAATCTGTGATAATTATAGATTTAAAATTTATGTTCTCGGTAGGTTTTATTAGTCCTTTTCCCATTAATATCTGTTGGTATCAATATGTATCTCCTCCGCGATGCCTAATATGTTGAAAACATAACTAAACATTTGATCCCGCGCGAGTCATTTTGCCTTGTTACTTTGATCACATGAACTGCAGAGTCGAACGCGGGAAAGTCGACCGGTGCACTAGCCTGCCAGGAGTAATTCCTTGGCGAATCACTACTTCTCTGCCTTCTTTGTGAACATCTCAACTGGGTTTTGAACTGAAATTGTCTGCGGGATGAAACTAATATTTTATTGATTACAAATTCGCCTAAGTTTATTCATTTTGACAAAACCCACACAAACCGCATCTTTTCGTTGCCGACATTGTATCATTTGGTCATCAAAACGGCCTATCGTGGAGCGGATTATGACTGGCAAATCCCCCCGCTTTCATAGTTCCTTGGGGGCTAATTTTCACGAACTCATAATTAAATCAGAAACATTATCTGGCAATTCCTCCTCCTCGATATCCATCTTGTAAACCCAGGCAAAAATGTCTGCTATATTCTCCTCATAATCCATTGAAAGTTGAGAATTACTGCCACAGCTGTTTTCGGAATCCCCAAGAAGATTTATTTCGCCCAGTTCCTGTCTTGCGGAGATAAAAGGCATGAAAATTTCTGAAGGAAAATTCCTTGTTATTTCTGTCACAAATATTGGTTGCATTGCTTCCCTTGCCATTGGAATGCAAATTTCCTGATCGCTCTTTGAATGGTTTTTCTTCCGGGAGAAATAAATGCGTTCTGATAACATTCCCTTAAAACTTCTCTTTCCTCGAGGGAAAAACCACGACTTTCTGTCGCATCGTCTTGAAAGCCTGAAATTCCTACACATCCTACGACAAACCAACTTGCACAAGGACTTTATAATTCCTGCGATGTAAGAATCAAACAAGAGTCAGCTGATGCTTAATAATAAATCCATTAATGTTTCGGTTTGTGGTAGCTCAGTATGTTACAGGAAAATGATTGGGTAAAAGAGTGCAATTTGTTGATATGTTTCTCATTACATTTCACTATTTTTATCTGTGACTCAGTTTTCAGGTAAATATGTAATACTAATTTTAACTTCCGCCTTGGCAGGGATCTGATCTCATTTTTTTTCCTTGATCTGGTCGCAATGCGGCTTTCAATATCTTTGGAAAAAATTCCTGACGTTTGACTCTAACGAGTGAACGCCTACTGAAGAGTATAAAACATCTTCTTAAAAATGTTGTTTTGACCTTGGCTTCAGTATAGTACCGCAGATGCGACTTTTGGTCTTTTTTAGATGTTTTTTAAATGTTCAAATTTACAAAATAAAAACAGTTTAAAACTGCTATAAAGAGCCGAAGGACCCTTCTGACAGAATTAAGCGAAAACAACTAAGTCATTGCAATATCTAGGCTCACAATACTGACCCATTGTGTTAAAGAATCAACTCCCACGCGAAATTCAAGGCAGTTCAGGGGAAATTGGGTCGCTGATTCTCTTCTCCTCGCCCAGAGAAATCTCTGAAGCCGGTTTAAGTTTGGTATGATTTCTTCGAGGTATTATTCTGTAGATGAAGATATCCAGTCCCTTGCAAAGTGTCGCTCATGGATTCCACACAAGGGTTTTATGTCATTTAAAAATTAATGCAACTTACCTCAGCAGAATTGCCTATCTCTTTACCATTCTGAAACAGAAGCCAATCAGGGGAGATTTTCTAATTTTTCTTTTGGAATTTGAATGCGAAAACAACCCGCAAATGAAACTGACAGGGGCTGACCAATACGATGAGTGCTATTCGGTTCACGGACTGTACTTAATACCGTGAAAAATGTTTTTCAGCCCCCAGAAATAAACTGTTTAATAGAAGTCAGAAAAACTGAGGATCAGGTGAATTATTGGTGAAAAAAACAAAGAAAACTGAAATAATTAATGCCAATTTTCTAAAGGTGAACTAAACACGTTTATTGAAAATTAGAAAAAACGACTTTAATTTAGAACCTAACCCGTCCTGTGACATGCTATCTTTGCAAACACATATTTCATGTACATTCGTCCGCGCAAGCATTAAAAATAACTTTGATTCTTAAAAAGCAATTGACCGTTTCCATATTTATAAGATGTTTTCTGTCTCCACTGGACGTACGCCAACATCATATATCGCTCATGTACGGCTCTCTCCTCCGCAGAGTCTCCGCCAAGAAGTACTCAAAATTGCAAAAACGCCCACCACGTGACCTGCAAATAACTGCCTACAAATAATGGTCTGCTTATGCGCAATCCCGTACAACTGTGTTTGGAAGTGTTTGGCTGCAAATCAGACTGGCTGCAAATAATATTCTGCATATGCGTAAAGGAAACCTTGCTTTTCTCCTTGCGACCGCTCTTGCGTGAAAATGGCAGATCGCTTCGCTTCCCGAGGATTTTCATTAAAAAAACAAACTCGGTGATCGAATGACAAAACAATTATTGAACACACGGTTATCGCAAAATATCGTGATTTGTCAGTGTCTCGCAGATCAATTATTTGTCTTCGGCTTATATTATTGATCTGCTCGCCATTGACAAATCACGATATTTTGCTCAACCTCGTCCAATAATTGTTAATTGTTTTAAAGCTGAAGGACAATAAAACTGAAAATTCCAGCGGGGAAATGCATCGGCCGCAAACGAATCTACCATGAGAATGTGGCTTAATTAGCCTATTTAATTCCTATTGGGCTTTTTCCTTTTGTCATTTTTCTAAGACAGCTCCCTATATAAATAGCAATAATAGAAAAACACAAAGAGGCCGCCTTTGCGGAGGAGAGAGCTCGTCTAGAGTGTTTTCACATGACGTCACGGCGGCCATATTGGTGTCCCAAAACAATGAAACGGCAGCCATGTTTCTATCCCAAACCAGTCCTGTGGGAGTTGAACTCCTTTCTTATGCAAACGCTTTCTTTTGTTCCAATAAATTTGCATAGATGCCGGCCAAGTGAGTGAAAACACTCTATACGGTCTCTTTGCATGATACTAATTTTACCCGTAGAGGAAATATACAAATGTTTCTCTCACGCTATTTATTCATTTTACTGAAAAAAGGGACTTTCTCTTTCTCACGATAGTAAGTTGTAAGTTAAGTTCTCTGATTGTCTTTTTCTTTCTTTTGATTTAATAGTATTGTAATTATTTTAGTTAAAGCCTTCTTTCATTCATGTAAATTCTTCACGTTTTTCTGCTGGTCTTAGGCCATTTAAGCCCCCGGCTTTGGTTGTTCTCATGTATTTTTCCGAGTGAGTGATATGTAATAAAGTTTTTTTTTTTAAATAAAGCAAACAGTACGGAATAAGTAAATACGGCTATAGTTTCAGACTGTTCACAGTCCCCTATTTTTTTGTGAGATCATTTACAAAAACCGCGTCTTACTGTCACGGGTATCTTGTTTTTCAAATGTACCGATGGGGCAGGCATCGGGGATTATAGCTCCGGGGGGGGGGAGAGGCGAGAAAAAAGTAGTTTTGACACTCATGCAAGATGGCAGCCCTTAACACAAAGATCTCTCTATCTCGATGATCTAACGGAAAAATAGAGGACTGTGAACAGTCTATTATAGTTTCCAACGGGGCATTTATGTGACGGAATGAACACTTTCTAGGGATAATCAGAATTTAATCTATAAGATTACCTTTCACCAAGGAGCAATTTTCAATCAGATTTACCCAGGTTTTATAAAAGGGGCCGATCAATTGAATTCTGAGGAGGTGGGGAGGGGGTGTGGGCAGGAGCCCATGGGCTCTGGTATGGGTGATTTTAGAAAAAATTTCTTGCAGACTGATTTCGAGGGAAAAATAATCCTACAAGGAAATACCCTGCCGTGATGGCTTTTTATGTCAGGGAAAAACTTCTATCACTAAAGGCTGCGAAGGTTTGGTAAAAAAAATTCTTGCCCAGAATCGGGTCCGGTTCAGACGCCGAACTTTTCATGAGCCAAACCTAATTCGAATTAAGGCCGACCCAAATTATTAAGACCGGCTGAATTGACTCAGACGCTGATCTTGATTGCAGCTCTGAAATAAGTTAAAAAGGCGAAAAATGCTCATTTCGCTCAAACTGCTTGCAAATACGTTATACTAATTTATGCATTAGGTTCAGTACATGAAAAGTTCGGCGTTTGAATCAAAGCCGTTCCATAGTCGCTCCAGAGGCGAAATTCCCGGCCGGGCTAGGCGAAAAGAACGGCTGAGCCGTTCCAAACTGAAACAGGCGTTCCTAATTAATTCAGTCGCCGAAGTTCTGAACCGGGCCTCAGAGTGTCCTGGGTAGAGTGATGACGTAACATGCCACTTTGTCTCTGAAGTGAAAGTGGAAAGTGATATTCACAACAAATCTGAACAAGTTAACCAATGTAGCAAACCAATGTTTATTTGCGTGCCAGTCACCAGGTGTTAAGAATTCTTCGAAGATGGGAACTACAACCTCGAGCTGCCATGTTGAAGAAACAGTAGCTTCACATTATGACCACGCTCCTGTTTTAGAAGAGAAAATAGATGGATCGGCCTGTTTACGACTTCATAGGATCACCTCTTATCGTTTTGAGGCTATCCTTTATAACCCCCAATACTCCCCAAACTGTTTTAGTCTATATCGATTGGCTGAAGAAGTAGAAGCCAGGAAGAAGTTCAAGTAAGCTACCTTTACTTATCTGCTCTATGTTGTGCTTTTCGTTGGCTCAGGTTGTATAAATTGAGCGAATTCGGTTATTATTACTTTCATTTATTTACACTTTCAACGTTAATCGCATTCAAGGTTTACTCAAGCTTAATTTTTATGTCAAAGTTGTTTTTCATTAAATTAACTGTTACTTGAAATTTTTTTCGGTTGTGTGGAATCATTTTTAGCCACATAAATAGTTTTAAATACATTTGTATAATTATATTTTGGGATATTTTGTTTGTAGAGTATTTTATGAGAGACTTGCACCATTTTACCTGAGTTCTGCCAAGTGTTACAATACTGAAGTTCTGCAAGAACTTACCTCCTGTTTGGAGCAGCATCCTGATTGGTCATTAGCTCATGTGGCTTCACACGTGAACCTGACCGAATGTTTAGAGAACAAGGAGATAGCAGATACTGTGGACAGTGCATGCCAGGATAAACAACGGACACCTCTACACCTTGCCTCTAGGGTGAGAACTTCTACTACATGTAGCTCTTACGCACTAGTCAATTGCAACCCTGACCCGTAAACCCCCACGGATAGTGGGGATTTTACGGAGCAATAGTGTGGCAAATACGTCGATTTTACATTCATTTCTTGCACTATCCCCTGGGAAATTACCAAAAATTTACAGCTACACACATCTATCCCCAGGGTGGGGAGTCAGTTGACCATGATCAATGATGTCAAGCCTTCATGAAGGCTGTGACTTTCAATGCAAACTAGCACAGTTTGAAAGGTATTTTAGCCACTCCCTCCTGAAAAATTAATAATTAGGATAGGATAAATTTGTTGTATTCGAAACTATTCTGAATTTTAGCATAATTATGGCTAAAATTGGCAAAAGGACGTGGATCATGGAGATCCATCCTGCTGTAAGAGTGACCCGTGCAGCTCCTCAAAAGTTTGCCCCATGATCCTTTGCCAACTGCTGCCCAACCTTCTCTGGGCTATATGCTTTTTATGATATGGCTGTTCCGGTCCAAGCATTACTAACATGCAACAAATTTAAACAAAATGCAAAAACACAGATCCATGAACACAATGTTTCTCTTATTGTTGTTATGTTTTTGGCTAAAAGGGCTTATGAAGCTGAAATTTGGTTTCAAACATTTACATCACTACGTATAAAACTATTTTTTTGAACCTATGCTTTGTAGACCATTACGTGAATCTTTGTTATACGTTGATAACATCATTTTGATCAGTATCTGAAAGTTTTTAAAAGGACTCAGTTTGTTTATGGCTTTTTTTGCATGGAGGAGAGATACAATACATGACTCAATTCAAATATTTGATCAGTTAAAGTGAGTCATTTTTTAAACTTGAATTATATAGTGGTTTGTTAACAGACAGCTTATCAGGAAGGGGTAATTACCACGTGAATCTGTCCCTCGGACCTGGGGTAACTTCTTTATAATTAAATTACGAGGATACTTTTGTAAATTTCCCCACTATTCCCCAGGGATTTGGGGGTAGTGGTTGCAACTGACTAGTACATTACAATCTCTCCTTAACCCAGATTGTGATGCCAAAATTGTCCTAAGCTGAACTTAGGCTACATTTAAACAGCACTCGCCAATTTTTCAACCTGTTTAGTCTGTGTGTTTAGTTGTTCCGTTCATTCAGAACCACCTTAATTGTGCAAAATTTAGATTCCTAGCCATTCAAAGTTCCGTGTGAACAGAGCAATGAAAATGAATGGTTCCGTGTGAAGGAACGTGACCAGTCAAATGTTTCAGCTAGTTGAAAATTCATCCAGTGTCATGTGAGGGTAGCCTTACTTCAAATTTTAGGCCATGGTCATGTTGTTGGTTCAATTTTATCCTTGGTTTAAATTTCATTTTTCTTTGTTTCAAACTCATTTCATACATAATTTACCATACCCAAAAGCAAAGGAAAATAAAATTTAAACCAAGGATAAAATTGAACCACAACAGTTCCATCACTAATAGAAGGTTAGATCTTCTGTCCATAACGTATCACTAAATCCAAAGCATTAACATTCTTATGGAAGATAAACATTGATTATTTTTGCCTCAGAGGCATCTGATTTTGCAAACTTAAACTTTTTTCCTTTTTCAATACAATGTACATTAAGGTCTACATACTTGTAATTTTTCCTTTTAATACTTAGAGTGGTAAACTGGAATTTGTTCGAAGTCTGATGGATTTTGATCCAAAGCTCCTGGTTAAGGACAAGTTAGGTAACACTCCTCTTCACTATGCAGCTGAAAAATACCCAGAGGTACTGAACACATTGCTGAAAAAGGCTCAGGAATTAGGTATGGAAAATGCCTAGTGCAGTCAAACCGTAATGACAGAGCTGAGCTGTATGTCTGCCAATTAAATCTCGCATGCATTGGGAGTGAGTCTCAGGCCAGCAGATGGAAACTTTTTATCTTATGCCAACCTGTTCATGCCTTCTGGCTACATTTTTGTGCCTTGCTGAAAAATGTGATCTACATGTATTAAAGCCTCAACTAGCACTTTTTCATGAAAGAGATACTGATGAGGTGTAACTACCCAGACCTGAGTAGTGCTTCTAATTGGTTAGAGCAAATGTTCAACCAATCAGAAGCACTATACCCTGTACTCAGATCTGGGTAGTGACACATCAGTATGGATTTTCTGTGTTGGTTCCTCAGGCAGGTACAGGTATATTTACAACTGTTGTTTCGTTTAATATAGAAGTCAATATTACATGTATAAGCTAAGGTAAGATGTTGAAGATGGTTTACTTGCAATGTTATCTGGTCATTTCCCTGGAAAAGGAGCTTTCAAGACATAACAACTAGGAAAATGTTGAGACTTCTGTACTGTCAAAATGGCAAATCATACGCATAAAGTCACCGCATGTGAGCTCATTGAGTGTGAAACCTTGATGAACAGCCTGTAGTAACGCTCCCATATATCTAATGGTTTTCTTTGCCCTAGTTACAGTACTTGTGAATTGTAGGAGGAAAGACTCTGAAGTTCTATTGTAACTCTTTATTCCCAAAATACAGATAAAAATCCTCCTGACTGATCTTTATAGATTTCTTTAAATAATTAGTTAAAGAACTTTATAAAAGATCAAAGCAGTTTTTAACAATTCTTGGCAATGTATGATATTGTAAGGAGAATTTTGATGCTGATCACTATTGGGCGTCAAAGGGTTAAGGCAAAATTTCAAAAAATGTCAACAAAATTTAACAAATAACTTTATAAAAGATCAAAGCAGTTTTTCTTTGGTTAATTTTAACAATTTTTGGAGGTGGGATATTGTTGGGGATGTCCAAAATTTAACAACTTCCACTTTTGTCCAGGGGCACATCCAACCCCTAGACAGAGTTATGCCCCCATTGCTATCGAACCCGTGCCCTCCAGCTATGAGCCCCCATGCCAATGGTACCAGGCACCTGTCAAACAGATTTATCAGTGGAAAAATAAAGGGGGGAGGGGGGAGGGATGGAGGTAAAAGAATGATCCAAAGGCTAAACAATGAGAGTAGCTGCCAGGAAAACTCTGTACTGAGCACATGGAGGTGATGCAAGCAAGGCTGACTGGGCTTGAGCCAAACGACTGACCGCTGACCATGCACGTTCTCCTCGTTCTTAACTGTCTTAAATTTATATATATTTAACTTCATTTAATGTGTCATTAGCTATGCGAGTCTTACTAGTCTATGTCTCTTCCATGATATTTTTTGGTGAAATTTGTTTCATGTTAATGTTACCAGGTAACCATGTGGCTGAAGTAGTCAATGCAACAAACTCCAGTAACCAATCTGCTTTGGATGTGGCCTGCCGCTATTCCCAAGAAGACAGTGTTGAAATGCTACTGAAAGCAGGAGCAGATCCTAGTAAACCCCATGAAGGATTCCATCCAATTCACACTGCATTGAATGCTCAGAGCCTTGCTTGTGTTGCGACACTGTTAGAGTTCCATCCTGAGCAGGTTGATGTTCGTGATACAAAATATGGTGGAGCTCCATTACACTGGGCCAAATCAAAGGAGGTCAGTAATACAGCTGAACCTTCATTTGCGAAAAAAAAAAAATAGAAATAAAAATGGTCTGAAAAGTTTAAATAATTTGTTAATCATGAGTTGTAACATTAGTGGAATTGCATCATGTACATATCATCATATATTGTTAATTCAAATGATCACATACTGTATTACTTGCAACTGAAGGTTATCGTAGATCGATTGAAACAGATCTTGTTCTAAATTATTGAAAGTAATGTGTTTCATCAAAGAATGTAATGTTATTTTTAGTCCAGCTTTACTGGTTTCACAGTGACATGAATTTAAATTTAACAAAGGTTAAAAACTTCTTGATGCTAGACTATCAAAAATATTTGATTTTTTGAATTATTATTCTGGTCTTAACCGTTTTTTCATAATGGTTATCCACTTTAGGTTGAATTGCAATAGCTGTAATTTTATTTTTATTGATATCATAGTTTTATGAAGTAAATGTTTTGTTTATTGTGGAAGTGCTGTCTGTTTTTCATGCTTAGTTCAAGCTATTTATAAGCATCAACAGGCCATAGTGTTAAAGTCAGGATACTGATAGCCTGCCATCATGCTCTCCTGTATTAATTTATGCAAAAAATAACAATAATTAATTAATAAAATAATGCCTGCAGGTGAAACTCAAGATGGACTGCATATTAGAAACAAAGCCAGCCTGTCATCTGAGGCCTGGATTTGAAGGCAGGAACCCCAAATTGTAGGTCTAATCGAGTAACTGCTTCTCCAGAATGCTCTCCTTCACCCTCAAAAGCTAATTAAAGTGATTAATTTTTTTTACAAAGGCAGTTGAGCTACTCCTCGACAGTGGAGCTGACGTAGAAGCAAAGAATAATGATGGAGAGACAGCTCTTCATATCATGGCTCGCCGTCGAAGACTTGGCTGTATTATAGTGCTGTTGAGTCGAGAAGCTAATGTTAATGCTCAGAGCTCCGATGGTTCTACACCACTGCACCAGGCTGCTGCTGTAAGTGCAGCCTGCACAGCAGGCTTTCCAAGGGGGAGAGGGTAAGGAGGAATTTGGGTTCATGAAGGAAAAGAGAATGAAATTTGTCCCACTTCCTCTCTCCTCCCTTGCATACCTGATGGATTCCCTCTATCCCTTTTCCCTTCAAACCCCTGTCACGAAAGGCTGTTAATGCTTTTCATTTTAACTTGTTTTAAAAAAAATTTTTAACATCGGTCTTGATCTACATGCACACGTTGCTAATGGTTTTTGAAGCCTGGAATAGAAGTACGTGTTTTGAGTGTTGTGGTTTGAAAGATTTCATGCAAAAAGCTGGGAATAAAAATGTCCTTTTTAATTAAAGATGCAAAGCTTAATTTCTTGACTGTATTTGTTGTAGATAAAATCTGTTCTCAGGTAAGACCATTAGAATTCAGAGTTTTCTTTGTTTCTTAGCTCTAATATTGTTCATAGGAGACAAAGAAAACTGGTTTGTAAACCCGAGAGAGGATTTTAGCTACAACATGTAGAAACAGCCAGGTCGCAGCTATAAGTTGCATAGAGTGTGATTTATTGGTTGTCATTATAAGTGCATTTAAGAAAAAAAACTTTATCACTATAAGGATTATTTCTGATTTTGCTAGGTTGGGGACCCAGACATAGTTCGTGCCCTCATTGTGTTTGGTGCTGATGTTAATATCACAAACAAGAGGCACGAAACCCCACGACACTTGGCCACTTTACTTCGACAACAACTGTGGCGTGAGGTTGTGCGGGCTGTTGGATTTGTAGGCGCAGTGGCTTGTGATAAAAGCAAGAACGGTTGCACACTTGAGTGTAGCGAACCATTCCAGGAAGAAATGATGATTGGTAAGAAAACTATGCTTTCCTTGCAAACTGGTTGTTGGAAGGACATGGTATCAGAGCAGGTCCACGCTAATCTCAATGTTTTTGAAACCGCCTTTTTTCACACAAAGCGACCTTCCGTCCACATGAAACCAGTGAATCTGCCCACTGGAACCACATCTTCTTAAAAACCACTCTTCTAATGGTTTATGGCCCCGTCCACACGAATCGGAGTAACAAAAGATGCGGTTTCAAAAATGTCCGGAATCGTGTGGATGGCAAAAAAGATGCGGTTTCAAAATGTCCAAATTTGTTTGAAATGGATGGCAAGGTTCTTTTTTCAAAAACTTCTAAGTCAATCAGGACCTTTCCTGGTGACCATGGACAACTACAAAAACAGTGCATTTGTTTCTTCTCAAAATCATAACCCATGCCATTTAAAGTTTCCAATTTTTGTTGTGGAAATGGGGAAATGCAATCAATCAGAGAATTTAAGAGCAAATCAATCATCTTTTTGAGTCGTCAGAACTGCTCACGTCAAAACAGTATGTCACTAGAATTTGAATAAATTAATTTTTAGATTTTTACTCTAAAACCTGGGCGACCATTTTAAATAAAACCTACCTACCTACATTTTGCCGCGCCACAATCGCGTAAATAATTTTGATGGAATGTGCCGCGGCGTGTATTTAAGTTTTTAAAAACGTTTTCGGTGCGTCGTTTATGAAAGGGCGGCGTTTATTTCAAAATCACATTTCTTCAATCACTATAAAAAAATTAAACAGAAAGATATTCAAAGGTTATTTTTCTCGCTTTTTTGCTATAGAATCGTAATTGTTAGGATGTAGTAGATTATAAAGTTCCGAGTTTTTTTTTCTTATAAATCCTTGAATAATCAGCCTCATTCGTCTGATTAGGCGCGGCGTTTATTCGAGAGCGGCGTTGCTTCCATCTGGGGGAATAAATCGATGGCGACTTTTATTCGAGTGAATAAGGAATTTGTTATTTGATCAGTGCGTGTTGTCTTAGATATTTTACATGGTTTTCTCATTAGCTAACGCAGCGCCCCAATTTCTTCCCAAACTAAGTCCTTCATCCTTTTCTTTTCACTCAAAGGTGGCACTATTGCCAGTGCAGCTCCCACTTTACCAGGCTATCTAGACATCCTCAACCTTGCCGCAGGGTTAGTGTCAGCTGGGCTGCTTCAGTCAAGCGCTGGACAAGACTCGGTTGATTCTGGGCCTAGACGTCAAGGGTCCTACAAGGAATCAATCTTCAAATCTCTGCACAAGAAAGAAGCCATTCTAACCATGGATGGAGGCGGAATCCGGGGATTGATATTAATACAGCTGTTACTGGCTTTGGAGGAGTTCACCAAGCAACCAATTGTGCGGCTGTTCGACTGGATTGCGGGCACAAGTACTGGAGGTATTCTAACTCTGGCTATCGCACACGGTGAGTTTAAAACGATCTAACTACATCGGGGGAGTATCGAGAGCGTTGCTTAAAGTAAAGGAGCCGATAAATTGTTTGAAAACAATTTATGGTTGCTTTTTTTGTGAGATATGCATGTTAATGCTTTTAAACATTTCTGAAATTTAAGTAATATTCTCAAAACCAAAACTTGCACGTTCAAATTTGATCTTGATTGTAGAAGAAATTATTAGATGCATGGTGGTAAGCAAATTACAACAGACCATGTTCTATTAATATTATATTTATTTAAATTTATTTTCGTCAGTGTTGTAAACCCTATTTGCGCATCCAGGAAACGCCTGAGTGGTAGGCTATTGAGTGCTTTCAGTATCAGGCGAATCAAATAAGCCCTTTTCCTTTATAAATCTTTCCATGTGCTTTCTTTCAGGAAAGTCTGCTCGTTATTGTCAAGGCCTCTACTTTAGAATGAAAGACTTGGTGTTTAAAGGTCCCAGACCGTATGATTCTGAACCACTCGAAAGATTCCTTAGACAAGAATTTGGAGATAATGTCAAAATGACATCCATCTTGCACCCCAGGTAAAGACAAATAAAAATATCGTCTCTTCCCTTCCACTACACTAATTTTTGCCGTAATGTTTATATCTTGCCGTTTAGCTAAATGTTGCAGTGTTGTGTTCGATGACAGCAGTGTTTACATCGTACTCGGCCGTTTTGTTGTAAGTTTAGCCCTTTCGACAAGTATCCCTTTTCATCTGAAAACGGATTTTCAGTGTTTCCGTTTTGAGAAAAATCCGGGTCTTTAAATTGCGTTTTTGAATCGTCTTTTCCCTCCCACACGAACACACATTGGTGGGAGTATGTGCATACTGGTATCCAACACCGTGACGTAATAGCTATTAAAAACCAACGGTTTCATCCATCTACACGAATACAGCAAATCGGCATTTTCAAAAAACCTCCACTCTGGAGAGAATTTTTGAAAAGATGCGTTTTCGTTGAACGCCGAGCTACGCCGGTACGGTAGGCCAAACCGGAGAAGAAATCTCTGCTTTCATGCAAAAACGGATACGTGTAAGCGGGTATTTAGTAAAGGGAAGACTAAGTACATGTGTATGAGGCCTTCCTTAGGGATAAAAGGAGAAGAGATTTCAAAAACGCCTGATATTCGGGTTAATAAAGTGTTCATTTAGAGTTTAAGCCACATCACGTTTACGGCTGATAGCAGGTATTTCTACGCCATCATTTTTCCGGCTGTTTAGTACTCCGAATTGCCGTTTATCTTTGACAGTTTTTCATGTGAAGAGGGACGTTTTCACGTTTTTGAAGAAAGAGTGAGAGAGAACTGTACTTTTTGTCCTTCTCGAACACATGAGCATCTTAGCTTGAATTTCAGACATCACTTAGAGTCGTTTACTCCCTCAGTGACGTCGTCACTGAGGAAGTAAACGACTCGATTGTCGGAAATTCTGTGCCGTTTTCTGTATTTGAATACTACTCGCGCAATGTTTCTAAACACAGCTAAACACTAACGTAACGTTACCTCGATGGCACAAGGCCCTTATTGGAGGAAAATTATTAACTGTTTTCGGATTTTTCCCCTACAATTTAGAGTCCTTGTGACTGGAGTTTTAGCTGATCGCAGACCAGCTAGTTTACATTTCTTTCGGAACTTTGACGTACCAGATGACCACGATGAAGCTACCCATGCAAAATCTCCATTTCCGGCGCCGCCAAAACCTTCAGGTACCTTATAGGTTGTATATTGAGATAAATACATCGATTTTGCAATGGAAAATGATCACTTGAACGTGACAAACTTTTGTAGGGAGTCAACCAAGACATTATTAGTGAATGAGTGAGAAGTGAAGCAAAGGAAATATACCGTATTTATTCGATTAACCGCCCTGGGCGCTTATTAAATTTTTGTTTACGTTTGATTTTGGGCGCTTATTCGAGGCTGGAACAGTAAATTTTCAACATTTTCATGTGTATAGTAAACAAAACAAAAATGGTAATAACAAAACGCGAAGACGTAACAAAGCAACGTTCCTGAAAATTTTGAAACAACTTAAAATACTAAAAATTATTCATTTTACTGGTCACGATTTGAGAGAAAAATTCAAGGCTGGGCGCTTATTAACTTTTTCTGCCTTTAGAAACATTGACCAGCATTCGAATAAATACGGAACATAGAATTTACGTTTGATTTTGTTAAAGGGCGGAACATCCCTTAAGTATTGCATAAAAAGAGAAAAAACTAGGGAGCGTTTCTTCAGTTTGGTAAAATACTAAAAAGACATTTTACTCACGACAGAGAAAAACAAGTTGTAGCCTAGAAACATTGACCAGCATTCGTAAAGGAGAATCAAGCATCCCTTAAGTGTGCCAAAAAACCCACGTTTCTTCAGTTTGGTAAATCCCCAGGGGATTACGCATAACATTACGTCTCTTTTATGAAACCGGTTAATACAAGAGGTGTAAACAACGCTTCAATTCAAGGCTCGGAAATTCGGCATGGGATTTTTGGGGGGCCGTTAATTTTTGGTCCACGGATTTTTTTAATTTTTTAATTTTGATTTTTGCCCCCATTTGATCATCCCCGTCAATTGAAATCCGGAGTACCTCCCCCTGGGAGTAAACCAGCCAGTCTGTTGTCACTGTTAAGAAATTCACTACAAATCAACTTTTCTTGCCGTTGCAGATCAGCTGGTATGGCGTGCTGCTAGAGGAACCGGTGCCGCTCCTTCCTTTTTCCGCGCTATGGGTCAGTTTCTTGATGGAGGATTAATCGCTAACAACCCAACGTTAGACGTGTTAACGGACATCCATAAATATAACAGTAATGTTCGAGGTGATCAAGCCTGTCCGTTCGGTCTGGTTGTGTCCCTCGGGACGGGAGTTCCGCCCCCGATGCGTGTCACGTCTTTTGATGTGTTTAAGCCAGAGTCCATATGGGATGCAACTAATGTACTCTTGGGAGCTCGTGCTTTAGGAGAATTACTCGTTGATCAGGTATGTACGTCTAGACCTTATTTACGACACCCGCCATCTTGCGCTCGCTTTAGGACTGATGTTGCAAAAGCAATGTCACGTGGTATTTCAGGGGGCAAATAAGAGATAAAATTTGCCAATACGCCTAATCGTGGTCGAGTTTGTTTATTATGTCAAAACGAGACAACAATTTAATAGTCATGCACCCACCCCCCAAAAGTTTGCATTACTATTGTTTCTAATTTCTCCTGGGTAATAAGTCGTCCCAAGAGAAATCGAAGACAATGGTTCTGGAAAATTGGGAGGGGGGTGGGGGGCGGTAAACAAGGTCAGGAGCCGATTGCGTGACAAGTAATCGGCTCCTGACAAGGTGCATTATGGTCTATGTGAAAATGGTGAATAAAAGAACCAATAATGTCCCAAAAACATTCCCATAGTGCAGTTCGACACATGTCTGACCGATTCTCAGGCGCCACCTTAAATTGGCGAAAAGGGTCCAGTTTCTCGGCGGTTTCTTTGCTGTCTGTTTGAGGGGAGACTATTAACATTCAACGAGAAGCAACTTCACTTGCAGCATCAGTTTCAGAGGAAGTGCGTTATAAAAACAACAACTACGGCTCGCCGTTGAAATGATCATGAATGCTCAGGAAAGAACTTTACATTATTGATGATGTTTTAAATGGAGGCGGAAATGTGTTGACAGGGTCCTTTAAAGAAGAGCATTGTTGACTTTACAAAAAACTAAATTTTTGAATGAATGTCCACTAGCTACAAATCAGCCTGGTAGTGCAATTTGGTGGGAAGATGTAAGCAACTTTATTCTCCGATGACTCCATATAAATCCTTTTAAAATAGGCCTGGATCGTAGTTTTAGAAGGATTTACATGGAGTCATCAGAGCATAACGGTGGTTATATCTCCCCACGACTTTAACCTAACAGGCTGATTTTCGTCAAGGAGGCATGTTTCATCTTATTCTTTCTGAATATGCCAACCAATCCCTTAATGTCACAAAGTTGATTTTTTTTGACATCACATCTCTTAATTTTATTTCATTTGCCTATTTGTTTGTTCTCTTTATCCAGGCTACCGCTACACACGGCCCGGTTGTTGAACGTGCGCGGGCCTGGTGTCAAATGGTGGGCGTACCTTACTATCGCTTTAGCTCTCCAATGTCATCCGATGTTGGTCTAGATGAGACTGATGATCGCATTCTCGTTAAAATGCTGTGGGAAACAAGGGTTTATGTTTTGCAAAACTTCAAGGAGTTCACTGAGTTGGGTAAAAGGTTAACCTCGTGATCTGATTTAACCCAGCAGTGAGACTGATTCATGGTTGTTGCAACTGTGCATGTAACCTCACGTGCAAGCAATTCCCCCAGTGTGTTAACAGTAGGGTGGCATTTCACCTCAACTTAGATCTTAAATTATTAACTGACTTAACTTATTTAACGCAGAGAACAGGATATCTCAACAACAACAAAAAATATATATTTCCTCACTTGCATCACATTTTGCTATTTTTCCTTCCCGAACACTGTCTACAAATTCTATTCTGTAAAATACTCAAAATCAAGAGTGGTCAAGGTTCCTTTTAGCTTCTCTCCTGAAAATCAAATAGTTCTATATAGTTCCATAATGAATTTTTGTCTAACATGTTACAATTAACTGGATTTCGTCAACTGATGTAAACGTTTGAGTTGATACAACTTTAGACGGCATGTGAATAGTTTTAACTTTATATAAATACATATCTTTATCTTATCTTTTACTAACATCTCGCCACAATTAGATTACTCGGAACTCTTGTTCGTGAAAAAAGCTGCGCCAAAGGAGTGATTAATGATTTTTTGTCTGCTCTAAAGGCTATTAAGTACGAAAAAATTAATATGGAAAGAAAAAAAAAATGAAAAGCTATGCTAGAAAAAATATTAAAGTTGTTAAGGGCAAGTTAGTTTAACTATGATCTTTAACGATTCAGCGACGTGAGTCTAGGACTACGAGGGGTTTTTGCCAAAGCTTTTAAATTCCACAGCATTTCTAAAGCAAAATGAGTATAGCTAGAGAATTATAAGCATTTTAAAGTAAATGGTAAGAAAACATTTGAATTCAAAGAGTAGGGCCATTTAACTTGGAGAATGTTGTTGAAACCGTATCATAACAACCTTAATGGAAAACAGCAAATATATATATTTCAAGGTCTGTGTTTTTTAATGAGGAAAGGTTTTTATACCTAGGGACCGTTATTTAAACACTTTAATATGACTAAACTTGATAACCTTACATGTAGCGACTTTCATATGAAATTTTTAACACATGAAAAAAGCTTAAAAATTAAAACAAATGTGTCAATATATGGGGTGTCACGAAACTCTCATAACGAATAGCCCATGTTCGGTAGCCTGAGTTCGGTAGCTGCAGGCGCTTGTCTTCCTCGCGCGCGCCCGTTCTTTCTTGCAACCCATTTACTTCCCAGCGCCTGCTACGCAGGCTACATGTTCGGTATATTGAAATTCTAACATGACTCCGAGGCTTTCTGGTCATATTTCTATATTTGGTTTGTTTTTTTTGTGCTCAAGTCTCTTCTGGGAATTGCGAGACAATGGAGTCTTGAAAAATTAGGAATTTTTGCTCCGAAGGCCTCGGAGTCATGTTAGAATTTTCATATTTCGAACTTGGGGTATTGTTCAAAGGACTTGTGTCACGGCAGGGGGCTGTCTAGATACTTTTTTTTAAAATATTTCTAAATTAGCCTCTCGCGGCTTTGCCGCTCGTGGCGGCGACGCCGCCACGAAGGCTATGGTACCAGGCGTTCCTTGCGGAGACCATGGAAACTGGGACTAAGAATCGTTGCGTGATCGAAGCCACGCATGTTTTGCGAAGAAAGCTTAGGAAAAATTAAATTTAGAGCTTTTCCGAAACGTGTCGGTCCACGCATTCTATTGCTTGAAAGCGTCGATTACTTTGGGACAAGTGAACACGACTGAGTAGTCGAAAAAAATAAGAATCGTAATGAGCAAAACTGCGATTGTCGGGTGAGGAGCATACGATTTACTTTCGGCGATGATTGAAATGACGTGACATGTAAATAACTTTTTTTTTTCTCCGGCAATGATGTAATTTCTCTGGAATCGAAGCCCCTGATTTTCGTGTATATACACGCGTATAGCCTAACACGCGTACTAAATCAATTCAGAAACAAGTAAAAAGTATCGACGTCTTGCGATAGAGTATAGTAGGAAGTAAAAACCTTTAGAACATTGAAATTTTCAAAGCCTTGATTCTGGCTATGACTATTTGCATTTTTATAGATCCCCCAAACGTATATGAAGTATTTTGGTGACCCCCCCTTTTCAACAAAAACAGTCCTATTCAGGAATACTTTCACCCGGACGATCAAACTCAACCTACTTGTGAAATGACTCCTGGGTTCAAACCTTTCACTTTTTTTTGTTGTTAAACACCACCAGAAGAAAGACGCAAGGTGGGTCATTTTGACTTGAAACATTGGAAAAAGCAGAACTCAAGACGTAGTACACTCCCTTCAAACGACATCCATTAGGTGTGAGATTATATGCCCCCAGCCCAGATAGCCTCTCTTCCCTGAGGAAAAAAGAGCACCCCTTTTCTGACTTTTTCTTGAGGGGAGGGGGCTTTACAAAGGGCGGGCGGTTACATAGGCGTGTTTAAGGCGTGACTGGGGGCTCGTCAGTACAGGTGGTAAATCGAGAAAGGTTGTCGGGAAAAGTGCACGCGACAATCCCGAAAGGTATTGTGGGTGGCTTTGAGGGCACTGTTCTTCAAAGAAATTTGAAAGAATGGTATTAGGCCACGGACATATGTTGTGAGTACTAAAGGAAAGCAAGTAGGTTCGACAGCTTCAGTCGTTACGAACAGTGTATTGATCATATCCCATATTACTTTTCGGGGTTGTCGCGTGCGCATTTCTTCCGACAACCTTTCTCGAAAGTTCTGGCCCCTCTCTCTCTGTCACGCAACGCCGGAAGAGGGGGTCCAGGGACGTGTGATATCATGTTTCACAGTGTTTTGACAGAATCAACGAGATTTCTGGCGGCCATGAGAAGGGGCTCGTTTTAGAAAACTGAGAATCAACCCCATTTGGCGAGTGTGCAACTCATGTGATCTCCTTGTGACATTATTTAAGGGTCGGAGATTATCAGTGAATGGACAGAACGAATGTGTTTTGCAACAGGTAAAGTCAGCTCAGCTAAATGGCTACAGTGTCGAGACTGCTGATTGTTGTGTTAATTTTCTTGTGTGCTCTCAAGTACTCCGAGTCAAGATCTTTTGTTATAGATTACGAGAACAACTGCTTTCTCAAAGATGGCAAACCTTTTCGTTACATCGCTGGATGCTTTCACTATTTCAGGGTTCCTCGCGTGTACTGGAAAGACAGGCTCATGAAAATGAAAGCAGGCGGTTTAAACTCAGTCCAAACTTACGTCGCTTGGAATATTCACGAACCAGTTCATGGCCAGTACAACTTCGAAGGCGATGCAGATCTTCAGGGTTTTATTGAACTCGCTAACAGCGTTGGACTTCTAGTGATTCTCAGACCCGGACCTTATATTTGCGCTGAGTGGGAAAATGGCGGGTATCCTTCATGGTTATTGATGAAGAACTCGTCGATTTCCTTAAGAACCTTGGAGAACAAGCAATATCTATCGTATGCAGAGTCCTGGCTGAGCGTGCTATTGCCCATGGTGAGGCCATTGCTGTACTCCAATGGGGGACCAATCATAGCGGTCCAAGTTGAAAATGAGTATGGGTATTTCGGGGGATGTGAACTGAACTATCTGAAGTTTCTTGAAGAGTTGTTTCGTAAATACCTTGGTAGTAATGTTATTCTTCTTTCAAACAATGGCGCCAGAGAGTCTTCATTAAAGTGTGGTACTATCCCTTCTCTGTATCCCGCTCTGGACTTTGGCGTTGGAACTAATTTAGATAAGGCGTTTGCAGCAAAGCGGAAGTTTGCCCCCAGGGGACCCTTGGTAGTCACTGAGTATTACCCAGGGTTTTTGGATCGATGGAGTGTACCTCACCAAACCAGATCTACACAGAGTGTTGATCAGACCTTTGACAAAATGCTGGCAATGAATGTGTCTGTAGCCTTTTACATGTACATGGGAGGTACTAACTTTGGTTACATGAACGGTGCACGATACCTGCGGAAACAAACTTTATTGCCGAGCATTACGAGTTATGATTATGATGCACCTCTGACAGAAGCTGGTGATACAACTACAAAATTTCATGTCCTGCGAGAGACAATCGCCAAGTACGAGAAAATACCCGATATTCCCATCCCACCGAACACTACAAAGTTTGCATATGGTAAAGTTCAAATGACCCAGCTGTCAACCTTTCTTGATGCAGTGCCAAATCTTTCTGCTCCCAATGGCCCTGTAAATTCAACCTTTCCTTTAACCATGGAACAAATTGGACAAAGCTATGGATTCATTCTTTACCAGACACAAATTCCGGCAGAGTTTGCTCAGTCAACTGTTGTCTTAAATATCACTAGCTTAGCACGTGACCGAGCCATTGTGTATGTGGGAAAAATTCGCCAAGTTACAATGTTCCGTGACCCTAAAGATCAGACTGCATCTCTTGTCATTGGGAAGGAGTTGCAGCTTGATATTTTGGTGGAAAATGTAGGAAGAGTCAGTGATGGTTACCAAGAACCTAAGGGGATCATTGGCAACATTACAATAAATGGCGCTGTTCTTGTCAATTGGAAGATATATCCTATAAACTTAGACAATCTCGTTTCAGCTACAGATGGCTATCTTAACACTGATCAACACCAAAAGGGGTTATTTGCACCTACCTTTTTTCATGGGGAATTTTATGTTAATTCCTCATACGACACATTTCTTCACCTGCCTAGATGGACTAAAGGGCAAGCGTTTGTAAATGGTTTTAATTTGGGTCGCTACTGGCCTGTGATTGGTCCACAAATCACACTGTTTGTACCAGCAAATGCGATATCCCTCAAGAAGAAAACTGCCAGTGTTGTGTTATTGGAGTTGGATGGTGCTCCTTGTGAATCTCCTGAAACTTGTTTTGTTGAGTTTGTGACAACTCCTATTCTAAATGGGACTGTACATCCTATAGTAGATGGTGAATTCAATGTGAACACTGTAAAAATTGAGAAATTTCATTGACCCATATATGGAAATTGAAGTGTTACAGTCAAACCAGGAAAACCGTGAACACCAGAAGTATTTCTGGAATGTCATTGTGCTGCAAGAAAAAAGCCAATCAGGCGTGAAAAAAACTGAACCGCAAGCTAGAACATTAATTTAGTTTGAGGTTTTGTGGCTAGTTCACATGTCCTGATCTTTGCTGTGATTAGTAATAACACAATAAACATTCTTGAGATATTTCAAGTGTTCACGATTTTCCTGGTTGCACTGTAATACTGTTTGATTGCACTGAATAGGTCATCCATGGATCAAAACATAGAATCAGCTGACTTAATTTGTGAATCTTTGTTAATTGTGCAAATAACTTGTTTTCACATGAAGTGATTTGTACTTGACCTAAGTTAATTCACTGAAAAGTTACTGAACACGGAACTGGTAGCAAACTAGAGAGTTAGTAATGCAAATAAAGTTGCAAGAAACATTTCAAAGGATATAAAAAATTCAGTGAATCGTGACTCGCTACCCTAACTGTTTCTTGTAATGTTTAGTACCCTAAGACACTAGCGAAAAATGTTTGATGAAATTTAAATAGGCCATTTACGAGTTGCCTCAAGCCTCTGTTTCAAAGCGAGGCTAAGAGAAAAGCCATTGATATGAAAATGAGTTTATGCAAATAAAACTCTTTTTCACAAGAAGGGTTTTGTACATAGCCAAGTTTGAAAGTGAGAGTTTTTGGAACTCCGAACAGGCCAATCACGCTTGGAAGATTGTGAGACAAGATGTGTGAAATAGTTAAATCGTGACATTTGAACGTGTATTTCGTTACCTTTCATGTAATTCGTTACCTGGTCAGCGGTCATTTATGTAATGCTTACGTCACAAGAACAGAACCTTTTTCTGCCTCGCTCTCGTTACTTTTATGACCGCCATGTTGTGTTAATGTTGTCTGAAATATACATGTAACTACATTGAGTTCTCTGTCGTATTTACTGCTTCCCCACATTTTTGGTGCCGAGACCAGGATGGAAGAGTTACCGAAACTGCTAGCGTCAAGAAGAGCTCACAAAGCACATTTAACCAAACTAAGACAGAAAATCGATGACACTGCAGAAGGAACAATAGCCGACAACGGAATTGTACTACTCAAGTCTCTCGTGGAGCAGTTAAAGCAAAAGAGACAAACCCTCAAGGAACTTAACGATAAGATAGCAGTTTTACTGGAAACTCCTGAGGAACTCGAAGCAGAAATACTCGATGCAGAGGAACTAGACAGCCTTATCGTGGAGAAGGTTTGCCTCACCGACAATTTAATTGAGCTCGCCAAAAGAAACCTCGACCAGTACGTGTTGTCCCACAGTCCCGGAATATCAGTACTCCGTCAAGTTCACCGCAAAAGGGACAAACAAATCAGCAACCCATTCCATCTACGTCGCAAACGGAACAAGAAAATCAACAATCCAATTCCCCACCTTCGACTGGAACGTCAGGTAGCGATTTTCAAAGTAACACAGCCGCTTCAGCAGAGAATCCCCAATTACACCACCGATTACTCCGATTACACCACCGCCGGTGAGTACATTCCAAACTAATCGTTTACCTAAACTTGTACTGCCATCGTTTAATGGGAACCCGCTTGAATGGCAATCGTTTTGGGACGCCTTTCAGTCTGCAGTACACGATAACTCTTCGATCAGTGATGTCCAAAGGTTCAATTATTTGAGAGCACAGTTACGCGACGGAGCTGAAAGAGTCATTGCCGGGTTGCCATTAACCAGTGCCAATTACGCTAAGAGCATCCAGTTATTGAAAGATAGATTCGCTCAACCCCACAAGATTATCAATGCACACATGGAGGCACTGCTCAACCTTCCATCACCCACTGATCATTTAAGTAGTTTGAGGCTTTTCTATGACTCAGTTGAAACACACATCAGGGGACTTGAGTCACTAGGGAAGAAAACAGAAACGTATGGAGATATTCTTGTTCCCATCATTCAGAAGAAGTTACCTAATGGAATTAAGAGGAATCTAGCAAGGCAAAATGGAAACAAGGAGTGGCAGCTTGACAACTTACGTAAGGCAATCTTGAACGAAATTGAAATCTTAGAAGCAGGTCAGAACAGTTCTAGCGATTATGAACTCAGTAGCAACTCAACAACTGCTGCTACTGCTGCATTTCTCACGACTTCAAAGCCACCTACACCTGTTCTCCCTCCTCCCACTGATCGGCGCCCTACCAAGCGAACATGCCTTTTCTGTAAGGGCGAACACAGTTCAAATGATTGTAATGTTGTAACAGACAAGGGAAGGAGATACTCCATTGTACGTGATGCAAGGGTATGCTTTAACTGTCTTAATCGTCATTCAGTATCTAAATGCAAGTCACGGAACAGATGTAAGGTGTGCCATCGAAAGCATCATACCAGTCTTTGCCAAAATGCAGAATCAACTCCCCTAGTGTCATCCACTGAACCGCCAACTACAAACAAGGCTCAATGTACACCCACCACAGACAAGACTACAGCACCTTCAGTCTCATCCTACCACATTGGTGATACTAGCAGACACACCCCGTTCTACTGAAAACAGCCGTTGCTTCTGTTGGTAGTCACAACAACCACATCAGTGCACACATTTTATTTGATGAAGGGTCTCAACGCTCCTTCATTACTTCAGATGTAGCGACCAAACTTGATCTGAAACCAGAAATGCAAGAGACCATATCCCTGTCAACCTTTGGTGGGAACACATCATCCGTTAAACGCATTGACACTGCCACCGTTTTTGTTGAAACCGCTCAAGAGGAGAACATTCCCATTCGCGTGATCATTGTACCAACAATAGCTGCCCCCTCACTACTTACACTGGTGCCAATGTAAGGAACTACCACACTTAAAGGGACTGTCATTAGCACAAAACGTTGATGATTCACCTTTCACAGTTGATATTCTAATCGGTGCAGATCATTATTGGGACATAGTGGAAAACGAAGTTGTCAAGGGTCCAGGTCCCACAGCAGCCAAATCAAAGATAGGATACCTCCTTTCGGGCCCCCTCTCCAACAGTAACCATTCAGAGAACCTAAACACGTCTATTTTAAATGTTGTGACTGAGCATCATCAAGAACAATTTGATTTGGAACGTTTCTGGCGGATTGAATCAGTTGGTGTTCAGCCAAGCTCATCAGAAGAAACGGTTGACTTTCTGAAGTACTATCAAAACTCGTCTATCATGTTGGAGGATGGCCGGTACAGTGCAAAGCTACCCTGGCGACCAGAACATCCCCCTCTACCATCAAATGCAGAAATCACTAAGCAGAGAACCCGCTCCATGGTCAGAAAACTAGCTGAAGATCCTAATAAATTACGCATGTACAATGACATCATCCAAGAACAACAATCTCGCGATTTTATCGAAAAAGAGTGGACAATCCAGAAACAACCAACGGAGTGTGTCATTACATACCTCATCACGCTGTTCTCAAGGACTCTACCACAACTCCTCTACGCATTGTGTACGACTGCAGCTTCAAACGAGGTGAACAACCCAGCTTGAATGATTGCTTACAGCCAGGTCCTCCACTTCTCAATGATCTTACTGGTATACTTCTACGCTTCCGTCTCCACCAGTATGCTATAACTGCAGACATTGAAAAGGCATTTTTACATGTAAACCTAGACCAAGCTGATCGAGATGCCACGCGCTTCTACTGGCTATCTAACACGGATGACCCGGAGAGTGAATTCATTGTCTACCGATTCAAGTCTGTCATGTTTGGTGCCACAAGTTCCCCTTTCATCTTAAATGCCACTCTCAATAAGCACCTCACACAGTCTACAGACCAAGTCAGCATGGATATGTTAAGGAATCTGTATGTGGATGATCTCGCCTCGGGAACAAACGATGATGATTCAGCAGTCAACTATTACCAAGATGCCAGGAACAAAATGTCACCGGTGGGCTTCAATCTCAGGTCATGGAGTTCAAACAGTCCTGGTGTTCAACATATTGCAGCCAAAAATCAAATCCTCGACACTAGTCCAACTAAAAAGTACTTGGCATGGTATGGGACATAACTTCAGACACGCTACGATTCTCATGTAAACAGGCAACCTCTACCCCCCCGTTGTCAACCAAGAGAGAGGTGTTACAAGAAACAGCAAAAGTCTTTGATCCACTCGGCTTACTTCAACCAGTCACCGTTGCGGCTAAGATTCTAATACAAGAACTGTGGAAGGAAGGGATTGATTGGGACGAGCCCCTTCCACCTTCTCTTGATCAAAAATGGCGTGCTGTAGCAAAGGAGATTGGAGATGCAACCAAACTTGAGTTCCCACGTCGCTACTTCTCTTCTAATGTCTCTGTCGATAGCAGCGATACAGAACTACATGTTTTCGCTGATGCAAGCCAGAAAGCCTATGGAGCTGCTGCTTACTTAGTACGTGGAAACCAGTCATCGTTAGCTATGGCGAAGTCGCGTGTTGCTCCGACAAGGAAGAAACTCACCCTTCCAGAATTGGAACTTATGGCAACTCTAACAGCCGCACGTTTAGCTTCATATCTTCAAGAACAACTGCCAGTTACAAGAGTCACATTGTGGTCTGACAGCCAAATTGTTCTCCACTGGCTCAAAAGCACCAAGTTGTTGAAGCCATTCGTCAACACTCGCATCCAAGAAGTAAAGAAGCTGACATCAACTTCAAACTGGAAGTACTGCCCTACAACTGAAAACCCCCCTCCGATCTTCTCACAAGAGGGATAACAGCACATCAACTAGAGATTTCCTTGCTGTGGAAACATGGTCCCACATGGTTACCAAACAGATCCCAGTGGCCTTCATGGCCTACGACAGAGGTTCTTCACTTATCAGCAACTGAAACCTCTCCTGGTGGGTCTACCACAGACGGCACAGTCCCAGTTCAACAGCAAGGCCTTCATCGCCTGATCAATCCATCGGATTTCAGCAGTTTACCAAAGCTTCTACGTGTTACAGCCTATGTTTTCAGATTTGTAAAACTTCTCCAGAAGAAACTTAGTCAACAAGGCCCAATTACAGCCATGGAATATGATCATGCCATGACAGAATGGGTGAAGAATCGTCAATCTGTTGTCTTTCATGCTGAAGTTAACAACCTCCTCTCGAAGTCGCGACACCGTACAACTTTGGTACGTCAACTTCGCCTTTTCCTTGATGATGGTGGTCTTCTACGCTGTGGCGGAAGGATACACAACGCACCCTTAAGTGGCAACACCAAGTTTCCTCTGCTACTTCCAAGCAAAGACCATTTCACAGATCTTGTAATTCACTCCACCCATGTCAAACAGCTTCATGCAGGTGTCAACTCAACACTCACCGCCCTACGTCAAACTTATTGGGTTCCTTCTGGCCGACAACGCGTCAAAACTTTAATTGACAAATGCGTAACCTGCAGAAAGGTCTCAGGAACAGCCTACAATGCACCAGACCCACCACCCCTTCCCAAGTCAAGAATACAACAAACACAACCCTTTGAAGTCACTGGGGTGGACTACACCGGAGCTCTGTATGTTCGAAATGCTGGAATCGAAACAAAGGTCTACATATGTCTGTTTACTTGTGCAACAACCAGGGCTATTCATCTTGAAGTTGTCGAAGACTTGACCGTTGAAGCCTTCTTACTAGCCTTTCGCAGATTTGCAAGTCGGAAATCTCTTCCAAGGAAACTAATATCTGACAATGCCTCAACATTTGTATCAGCGAACAATGAACTAAAGGAATTGTTTCAATCTCGTGCGCTCAAGGAAACACTAGCAAGGGAAGGCATTGAATGGCTATTCATCCCCAAGAAGGCGCCTTGGTACGGCGGGTTTTGGGAACGCCTCATCGGTCTCACCAAATCCACCATCAAGAAGGTACTCGGCAGAGCTGCAGTCAACCTGTGCACTCTTCAGACAATTGTTGTTGAAGTAGAGGCAATTCTAAACGATCGTCCCCAACCTACGTTTCCTCAGACATTAAGGATGAGGAAGCATTAACCCCTGCACATCTACTTTATGGCCGACGAATTACGTCATTACCACATCCACCAGTAGAAAGTGACGAAGTGAGTGATCCCACCTACCAAACAAGTACAGATTTACTAAGAAGGGCAAAACGTGTCACCTTACTGATCCAACACTTTTGGCAACGATGGCGTCATGAGTACCTTACCTCCCTCCGAGAGTTCCACAAAGGTTCAGGAATCAACACAGAATCCGTGAAGGCTGGTGATGTAGTTCTAATCCATGATGATAGCCCTAGAGTAAACTGGAAACTAGCACTTGTCACATCCATTAACAGAGGTCGCGATGGACTTGTGCGTTCCGCAAATTTACGCACCGCCAATGGAACAACAAACCGTCCCATAACAAGATTACACCCTCTAGAAGTTCACGCCAAGGAAGCACAGTGTTGCACAGAGGATCAAGCAACCGCAGTAGAAACTCCAACCCCTGTGAGGAGACCACAAAGAGATGCAGCACGACGAGCAATAAGGAGAATTGCAGATTGGGCCAAGGACATTCGCGCCCCCTCCCCCCCGGAGGATGTGAAATAGTTAAATCGTGACATTTGAACGTGTATTTCGTTACCTTTCATGTAATTCGTTACCTGGTCAGCGGTCATTTATGTAATGCTTACGTCACAAGAACAGAACCTTTCTCTCTCGCTCTCGTTACTTTTATGACCGCCATGTTGTGTTAATGTTGTCTGAAATATACATGTAACTACATTGAGTTCTCTGTCGTATTTACTGCTTCCCCACAAGATGCGCAAAAAGCATAGCCCAATGCAATGAACAATAAATAGTTTATTGCGAATTGTAAGTTAAGAATAGTTCAATAGTCCATAAAATGTAGTATGAGGCTACTCAAGATACCCTTTGTAATCTTCATTTACTATGCTACTAAAGTTGTAGTAAAAAAGTATTTTCCAGCATCAAATTGCCCATTTATTGACTTCACCGGTTCTTTGATTTGACCACTTCATCTTCATCTAGGGATTACAACATTAGCATCAATTCCATGGTGAAACACTGATGAACTTTTTAAAGCTTCACCTTGTGTTTCCTGAGCGACAAGAAATGTGTTTAACTATCCGTCTCCATTCCATCCTAACGCCAGATATTTCTGGTGCGTTTTCATGTCCTTTCTGTGAATAAGCCATTCCGGCAAAACTGTAACATGTGTAGCTATTTGCTGACCTGACCGGGGGATGTGATAATGTGAAACAAATGTCTGCGTAGGTCTTTAATGGCCACTCCACTCCTTTATATTTCATGATGTGATGTGATTTTGCTGGGGGCCAGCATCAGCTCTGGTTAGTATAAAAGTGTTCTGCCGCAAATGCTCTGGCCTCGGCGATTCTAGATCGACTACAGATACAAAATGTAAAAAAGTAAAAGTTAACAATGGTTCATCTTTCCTCCTACTTTTCAGCCAAAAATGCCTATACGCTATTCAAATCCCTGTGGTCCTTCTCTCACCTGCTACATCGACTGGTAGGTCGGCTCCCATCTCCTGCTGTACCCGGTCTGGATGCATTCACTGGATTAAAATCAAATGCACCCAGCTCTGAAACAGAACGTGCATAAACATCAGTGATAGTGAATATATGAAATTCACATACAGTTAAACCCCGCTTTATGGACACCAGTTTCATGTGGACACCTGGAACAGTCTGCTTTGTCCCTGGGGAAAGAAAGCTGTTACATTTTCCAGTAAATTCAAACTGCTTTACCGTAAATCATCGAATAAGCGCCACTCTCGAATAACCGCCGCACCTTTACCGAAAATAATTTAATAAGCGTCACTCTCAAATAAGTGCTGTGGCACTAATTTGGGTATTTACAAATAAACGCCTAATCTTTGCTACGGCGCTCGATATCACTTGAGAAATAAGACTTGACCAACTCGTGACCTGAGTTCTAAATTTTTGATGTAGGGAAACTCTTGAAACCAGGTTCATATAACAGATCAAGGTGTATATATTATATTTTATACTATTAGTATAAAATTGTGCATACCACTTAATTCTCCCTATATTCCCCTCAGTGTTTTACCCGTAGATGAAATAAGCACCACTCTTGTATAAGCGCCGTACCCATAACAGGGAAAATGGAAATAAAATAAGCACCGCAAGGCTTAATCGATCATTAAATGGTATACGGGTATCCTGCCCCAGCCATTAATATGGACACTTTCTACGGCCCCCTCAGAGTCCATAAAATGGGGTTTGACTGAATTTGAACGGCGAGAGAAAAATTATCACACATAACTTTTTTCAGAAATCATAACTTTTTCAGAGGAAATAAGAAAACTGAACAACAGTATCGGTGGAGCCATAAGGGAGTGATGTATGCCTGGTGAAAAGCTTGTTTTTCTACCTGGTAACGGCCCGTTTCGCGACTGAGATTTTAACTCTGAAGGCAAGGATTCAACCAGATCTTTCACAATGCTAAATCTGAAAAGAGAGTCAGAATTGATCAGAACTCGAATACACAACATGAAACCCGGCAACGAGCAGCGGGGGGGTTTGGGGCTGGAATTAAAAAAAGCGGGAGATTGACACCTGGTGCTAAGAGAACTACTGCCAAATTGTTTTTCATGTTTTAAATGACCACTCAAAATATTAATGGAAGGTAACGCAAGAAATACAACCACAAGGCACGGGTGGACAAACTTTAAAGAATATCAAAAAAGATTGAAATTGTGGCTTTTGAAAACGTGTTAGCCTATCAGTTTTTCAATGTTCATTTTTGTTCTTTGTAACGATTGACATGATCCTTGGCGGACACATTTGTTTTTCACAAAGCTGTGATTTGATATTAACAAGTAGTTACTTCACTAAAGCTGAGGTCCATAATCGGATAGCGAATCACTGATTGAAAAATGAACTAGCCAACCTTTACTCAGCACCTTTGAACTTGATTTGATCAGATTGCATTTTTTACTCTTCAGTTTTGAGAAGTGAAGTGTGTTCGTGAAAAAGAATTACACTCACCGTGATGCAATGGAAGCCTCAAACGACTCCTGTTCAAGCAGTGTTGCTTTTATTTGCTCTTCTACTTGTTTGGCACTCAAAACTACGAACGGTAAAAGACAATACGATGATAAAAGAAGGGACACGCAGCGATGGTTCACAGCAGTTCAAAAACACAAGTGATGAGTCCAATATACCGACAAAAATTTGTTGGAATTTCTTTACAATAATCTTCTGCCACTTTTCTGCCACCCTTACTAAGTGATACCATGAGAACATTCTTGTCCACTATATATCACAGCCTGTCCTCAAACAAACAAAAAAAAAAACAAACAACTGAACAAAAGAAATCAACTGACCCTGTAATGCAGACATTGGTCTCATGGGGGGTTGTACACGTGAATGACCTGTGCTGGGTCTCTTGAGTGACACCTGTCGATCATAATATTACCAAAAGAACTGATTACCTTTCTGATGTAGCTTAGCCTAAGAAACTTCTCGTTTTTTAAAATCTTTTTTTGTTTTGCCTGTTGTCTAACATGCGGTGCAAGGGAGGCCGGCAGCATGGCCAAGCGCTGGGTGCATCGGAGATGCAATCCGGAAGTCACGAGTTCAAGTTCTGCACTGAACACAAGCTCAATTTCCTTCCCGGAAGTCCCTAATAGTTCAACTCATCAGCCACCTTTGTAATTAGATAAATAAATAACGATTTAGATGTAGAACATCCACTAAGAGGTTATTCGTCAACCTGATTTTTTGTCGAATTGGAATTTGGAAATGTAGAATGGTCTTTTGAGGACAGCAGAAAACCGCGATACCCAGAGAGCAGCAAGGGAGAGAACCAACAACAAACTCAACCCACAGATGGCGTTGACACTGGGATTTGAACCTGGGCCACATTGGTGGCAGGCGAATGCTCTCATCAGTGCACCGCCCTTGCTCCCCTTAGCCATTTGGTTTGTCTTCTGCAGACAGTTGGGGTTTTGTTTTTAATAGCTAATGCAAATTGATTACCATGTCTCATTGCTAGTTGAGTTTGTCCTTAGTGCATTGTAATCTCTGTCATTTTTCATTGTTCATCAAGCACTTTTCTGTTGTGCAAAATATGGTGCACTTTATGAGGAAGGTGCACTTGCATAAACTAAGGCAGTTTGCAGTTAACCGAATCATGCAGTCTGGATAAGCATTCAATGAACAAACTATGACATAAAGGATTATCCTAAACTTAAGCTAAATCTGGATTAACCCCCTTAGCATAGTAACTACCTTATCAAGGATTTCCAGTGAAGGTATGTTTTGAGATATTCTACGATGATAGCTGAAAGGCAGAGAGAGAGAAAAAACTGGGTAAAAATGTAGTTAACTATCAGTGATCTTTTTTTAAAAACAGCCAATCACAATAAACTCAGACAAAAGTAGTTCACACGTAATAGGGGCCTTACAATCCGACAATGCCGACGTCCATGAAAACGTCGCTAAATAATAGACTTCGCATCCTTTTAAACTTTTCCGCGATTATCCCAATTCGCCCTGTTACTTAAAAGAAGGGCATTTTGGTTGGAGCTGAAGAGAGGGGACCGCGCCCAAGTTTATAGACAGAGATGGTAAAATATAATTATTGCCTTGCCGTCCCCGTTCTCAAATAAACTTAAAATTTGGTCATTTTACGTCGTTGTTGTGCAGGGACAGCAAAAAAATTTACCAAAAAGTGCCATGCATGTGCAGAGTTGTTGTTTTGCTCATTAAACCTATTGCATAATGTGAAATTAGAAAATTTCACATCGTAGTCATGCAGTGCCAGCTAAGAAATGTACAAAAAAGTGTGATGCTTGTGCAAAGTAACTTGTGGTGGGGTGGGTATAAAATTTTCTGCATTAAAAGTTGCACTGCATGTGGCGAGTACTGCCGGAAACAAGCTTGATAAACATAAGAAAAAACAACCGCCATAAAAGAATTGCAATGAATGTACCACAGGAATTGCTTTTCCCATGGTGTGCGTAGCCGCAATCATATTCACAGGTTTCAGAGTGAAGTCCCTTACCTGATTTCATCCTTACTTTCACAAGGATTTCCTGAAAAAATTGAAAAACCAAGAGTACAGTTAAGAAGTTTAAGGCCTAGGCCAAACGACGAACTTTTCCTAAGATGAACCAAACTTGAAGATTTATTAAAAGAAAGCACTGCTTTTCCAAATGTCACTTGTGATTCACATAGAACTTCTGTTATGCTCTTAAAGCCTTTTTTCCAGGGTCAAGTAGACATTACGAAACATTCAAGATACTTTCAATGGCTATGTCGCGAATACCTGAAAAAAGGTTAGGCTATGTAAAATTGTATAAAATAAACACAGATAACTGAATGATCTTACTTACCAATCACAGTCAGCTCAACAAGAGTAGAAATATCCGAAAATACAAACTGACACAAAAAAAGTAAAAGAAAACAACGAGTGTGCAATAAGTTAAGGGCAAAGACTCCAGGGACAAATTTCTTACATGAATAAAGCAACTTTATAAGCTGATTGTGGAGCAATTACCATTTCGTCCACAGTTTTGATGGCATTGTGTGATAGGTCCAAAATCTCCAGACAAGGAAACTGGCTCGGAAAGGACTACAACCAAAAAATATTAAAAAAAGAAACTAATACTTGAATTAAACTCAAGGCGTGCAAAGAATAAAGAATACTGTATTTCCTCGAATAATAGCCGGGGAGATTATTGATTTTTTCATGCCTAAAGGGGGCGATTATTTGAGGGAGGCCATTATTTCAAATACACGTTGGAAGTCGTGCACTAAATATTTTTGCTTTTATATGAACCCGTTACTTATCAAAACTAACCACATTAAATAACCTGCACATAGGCTTTTAAAGTGTTCCAAAGTTGTTTCCTTGATTAATTTTCAATTTCAATATCCTCGGTGTCAGAGCTTGAGTCATCACTGATCAGTTTTGTCACTATCCAGTTGTAAACAATCAGTTAAGGAAGTTTGTTTGTTATCCCAGGAGTCAATTGTACCTTGACAGGGAGGGGGAAAAGAAGAGAAGGGGGTGAAAGGGGTGTAAGTGCGATTATTTTATATTTTTCCGTCAAAGGGAGGCGATTATTCGAGGGACAGCTATTATTCGAGGAAATACCGTATGTGGTTCTTAAAAATAATTGGCTTGAGAATGACATGACACTTTGTTTTCTTTAAACAGGTTGACCACACTCTCACTTATGTAAAGAAAGGGTGATTCTTAAAAGTCGACAAACTTAAAAGGGCAATATACTACCTTTGTGGCCTGTTGAGGGCTCTCTTTGGTATATAAAGTCAATAGAAATTAGGGGTTAGTAAGAATAACGGGAATATCTGAGAAAAGAAACCTTAGTGAGGACACTGTATTTCACTGGAAATTAGCCTTACCTTGACTGCTGATATTGAGTTGTTACCTAAATACAACTCCTGTAGACATCTGCAAGAAAAAAATTCAAAATAAACAGAATTTATCACAAAACTGTTTTAAATACATCCATAAATCTAAGATCAACAATACAAAAATTAATACAGTAACCCATAACAAAATTAATCGTCAAATAAGAACCCAGAAGCATGCGGAAAAGACTGAACCTCTCCTTCGCTTTTGTATTTTCTGCTCTGCCAATTGGCCAAGTCAGTTTTCAGATTTCAGTGTGCTGTCAACTGTCATCACGTTGTATTAATTGTTAAATCTGCCAAGTAATTACATGTATTTGGCCGCGGCCGGACTAGCTCAGTCGGTAGACCGCTTTACTTCAGAACGGGAGCTCACTGGTTTGATTTCCGCAGCCGGACCAATACTCAGGGTCTTCAAGACTTCATTTCTCAGTTACTTTTAGTGAAAGTAACTGAGAAATAAAGGCACTCCCTCTGCACTGCAAGCCGCTAGACCTCTGCGTGGCTCGGATGACCATGTAAAATGGCGGTCCCGTCTCCAGTTAGAGACGTAAAAATGGTGTCCCCAATTGGTACTTTCATGCTAAATACCTTGACACTCAATTAAAGACCATTTATTTTTTGTACCTTAATTTTCCTAAGGAATCAAGCGAAGTTATGTCATTGTTTTCTATCCTCAAAATCTGAAAAGAATATTAATATATTAATAATTAGCATGAATTCAAAATGATGAGCAAATAACATACAAGTGTGAAAGTGTGCTTTTAGGCACTCGTGTCATTTTCATGTTCTGTGTCTTTTTTAGCTTGTGAATCAGCTCTCTGTCTATTTTTTTGCCACGGATGACAAAAAATTTCCCAAAAAATTTCCATATTGCGGACGTGAATCATTTCAAATGTACATGTAATTGCTTCTTTCAAATATGTTGATTGTTATAGAATATTTTTTCATTATTTTTCATTTTTGTTTTCTATAGTATCCTATATTTCTCAAAGTAAACATTGGTACTGGAGCTCGTCATAAATTATTGTTCTCTCTATCAAGTCAATGACCTCAGACAGAAAGCACCTTTCACATATTAGCTGTACCAAGTAGTGCTGATTTCTGCAATGTCGAGATGTATGCACTTTAATCCCTCAACTTTCAAGGTGACGATGCTAATTCTCAGGAATGAAGCCAGGGGCACCAATCACCACATTCCATGTTCCATACTCCACTCTATTCTCAGTTCTGAGCAGTTATTATTATTATTATTATTATTAGGGCTTAGCAGGATTTTATGAATGCAGCTCCTAAATCACTCAGTTTGTCATACAATGTAAATAAGCTGCTGAATACATGGAATACTTACAGTGAGATTAGAGAGACCTCGTAAGCCAGCTAAGTCTGAAATGTGATTTCTTGATATGTCCAGTTCTTGAATCTGCAAGAAATAGATCAAAGTGTGAAATCAATTCTAATAATTCAAAGGCAAACAACATCATCACCTGATAAAGACCAGTGAAACCTCAGTTGTTCAAAGCGTAGGTAACACTATCCACTCGATAAAATCTATATCAAGCGGATAGCGCAATTGGTTTACCTAATCCGCTTGATGGTGATATCCAGCATTTTTAACAACTGGTGCCAGTTATATAAAGCAGTTGGTATGGAATGATCCATAACTATCATGAACAAGCAATTACACCTAATTGCAAAAACATTGTCATGGAAAAAATGAAAAAGGAAAAAGCCAAATGGGAATTAATTATGCTAATGAGCCTTATGAATTCATTTGCAGCATTCGCACATGGATGTCGTACTTGCCTGTTGGAATTTGCTATTGTTTTAAAGCTAAAAAACAATAAAAAAACATTCCAGCGGGGAAATGCAACGGCTGTAAATGAATCCACCCTGAGAATGTGGCTTGATTAGCCTAAAAAATTAATTCCTATTTGGCTTTTTCCTTTTTTCATTTTTTAGGACAACGTTACTGCAATTAGGTGTAACTAACCTATCATTTAAAATTCATTACCAATGACAATACTGATAAGCCATTTTTTAGAGTTCCATAACTCCCAATTTTAAAACGAGGCTAAAAGCAAAACCTTTCTTGTAAAAATGAGATTTATTTACATGAAAATAAAAAATCATTTTCATATCACTTTTAAACTTTGTGCTTAGCCTCACTTTGAAACAGAGGCTTCAAGCAACACAGAAAAGACCTATTCCCCTCCTCAAACTCAATAAATACATTGTTTGCACTGACATCAAAACTGTTTCTAAAGACTAAATCATCTTCTTGGAACCGAAAAATGATACTGCTTGCCCCTTACCTTCTTGCATCTTCCAATGTCAGGAATTTTGGTGATTTTGTTATTTGACAAATCAAGCTCCTCAAGTGCAGGAAGTGAATTCAGGGCCTACAAACAGAAAACATTTTACATTATCTGTTTCTTAAAGGAGCTATGTCAAAAGGATAACTATGCTATTGCTGTATTAGGTCATGTCTGTTTTTAAGTACTCACTCAGTGCCTTTAGCCAGGCACAAAATGCTCCTGAAGAGTTTGAAGAAGATATCGAACAAATTTCAACATTTTTCCTTGCATAGCATTAAAACTTGAAAACACTGGCCCAACATATTCAAGTTTCAATCCATGTCCATCCTTGCTATCAATTGCAACAGAAGACAGGAAACAGTTTCAATACCTAACTATAAGTCTTGAATAACAAAACTGGACCATTATTTTTGCAATTCTATTAATGCAAAAAGAGTTTTAGCTTCTCAAAAAAAATTGCAAATATCGTGACATAGCCCCTTTAAGTAAACAGATTTTGAAGGGACATTTGGTGGCTATCCCTATTTTCAAATTATGAACTTACAGAGACATCTGTGATGTTATTACAGCTAATGTCAAGGACAGTTAGCTGAGAACAGCAACCAATTTCTCTGTGATCTATCTTGGAAAGACGGTTGCTGTCAAGCCGCAACACTTTTAGCTTTCTTAGATGCTGTAGTCCTTTCCCTGAGAAAAACAGAAAAATGGGCAATCAACAAAGCTGTTCTATAAAACAAAATAATAAGAATATATTAATATATTAATTGACAAAAAACGAAGATGCTTACCAATGCACTTTATCTTGTTATGCTGCAACAGAAGGTTATTTAGCTCTTTGCAGCTATAGAAAGGGAAGAAAAATGCCAATGCTTTCAGAGAAAAATATCAATAGAGTTTATAAATAGCAAAATACCTAGTCAATCCATTGACATGTATAGGCCATCTACAGATCCATATCACCCTTTAAATCTCAACCTTGGTGTCGGAATCCTCATTCAGGGTCACTTTGTTGTCATCATTACCCTATCTTTTCTTTCAACTTGACATTGAACAAGACACTGTATATGCAACCTTTGTTAATCAGGGTAGAAACTGAATAAAATAGATGATTTAGCTTCTTTTTGCTATTTCCTAGTATTTTCAAGTAAATATTATTGTCCAAGGAGGCGATTATTGAAGAGGGGCGTCACGAACAAACTTTAATGTGTAAGGGAGGCATTTAGTTTACTCGAGTATGGGAATCGATTAGATCATTAATTTTATAGTACCTACATGTAGCTACATCTTACCTATCTAACCCTGTGATTTCTGTAATATTATTTGCATAAAGCTTCAGCTCTCGAAGATCCTGTGTCAAAAACATAGCCTTGCTATTAACAATGAAATGAAGTTCACAAAGCTACGTTTAAGCATGAGAAATGTGGATAGAGGTATACATCTTAGACAGCACAGTACAAATGTCATACTGAAATGCAACTATGAATGAACAATTTATAAGTTGTATTCAAACCGTTGAGAACCTTCTAATGACAATGACCAAAAATTTTATCCAGTACTTGTGAGAACTGTGACTTAAGAAGAAGTTATCAGAAGTTGATCAAGTGTCAAGAATGCAGTGCAATCCATCCCTCATTTCATGCAAGTCAGACAGCAAAAAAAGGCTTTAAAACTTACAGAATTCTTTTCTAAATCATGAGGCAATACTTGCTTCAACCTGTTGCATCCAATGTCAAGAATTTTTAACTTTGGAAACTGCAAAGATATAAAATAAAATTAGACAAAAACATGTTTGTCTTTGTTTCAGCTACAGTGTATAAGGAAGAATTTCCAGAAAAACCCGATCTCTGATACATGTCAGAGTTAGCTACTTCATGGAATGTTTGTGATGCAAAGTAGTATTAGTATTGTTTGTAAATCATAACATCAATAGCTTTATTTAAATCAAATCACACAAAGTTCAACTGTCTAAAACTTAAATTTGAATGAGACAAACAAAACTGCAACCAAGCAAGAATGAAATATGAGCAACCAAAAGTGGCAAGACCTTAACGAAAAGTTGACTGAGTCAATGATACAAGCCATAATCAACCGTCATAGAGCATATGCGCGTGAAACTGACAAGATGGCAGATATTCATATTGGAGTTACCGTAAAATTCCGAAAATAAGCCCCGGGGTTTGTATTTTTCAAAGACCCTTTTTGAGCGGCTTATTTTTGGAGGGGCTTATATTCGGAGGGGCTTATCTACGGAGAGAAATTTGCGTTTCAAAATCGATTTGGCTGGCCTTATAGTTGGAAGTAAATTTACCGTTTTTGCTTTGTTTTACTTTGTATTTGACGGCAATTTCCAGTACAAGCCCCCGGGGGGCTTATATTTGGAGGGGCTTATACATGGATGGGCTTATTTTCGGATTTTTACGGTACTTTAATTTAGCAATGATTTAAATTTAGTGACACTTAATTTTGGTCCATTTTACTTTTTTAAAGTGTTGCCAAAAATTCATGTAATGAGGTACATTCTTATCTTTAATCTTTAATCACTTTAATTACACAATAGCACAGGCTCATTGCGGTAATATGATCATAATATGGCCAGTAGAAGACAAATAACTTTTAACTGTGGTCTTCAACAACAGACAAACAGCTACACTGGTCCACAACTTGTATTCCCTAGCAAAAACGAATCTGACTTGTAGGAATTAACAAACACAGGTTAAAGGTTGTATGTTGTACTATGGGACTTCCTGGAACAGGAGGTAATGTATCTCTTAAAAAAGACAATATTTTATTCACTAGGAAAGGGCAAAGTGACTAAATTATACAGGATCTTAGAAAAAAAAAGTGAGAGATCAATTAGGTGTTCTTTGTTCTTGCAGTGATAATAGACCAAGTGATAATAGACCATTTCAAAGTTGTGGGATTAGTACTCCTGCCTTCGAATGAATGTAAGGCTGAGATTGACCTTGTTTTAACACAAACCTCTTTTGTTTTCTTGTGGAAATGTACATATGCTAGGGAAATATTAGTAAGCATGAGAACAACATGATTTACATGTACACAACAAAGCTGCAAGGGTTGTATCAAAACAACGTCAACTCCAGGACCATTTCCATAACTGTAAAATGGGCTAAGGAAGACACACTTAAATGGAACTGTAATAGTTGTTACACACGAATCTGGCTGCTTGCTATTCAACCGACTCAACAGTCGCAAATCCCCTTCGTGGTAAGTGAATTGAATGAATCTGTCTACATTCTGACCTCTTTTAGGCTTGGAATTTGTTCCAGTGCTTGTCCATTCAAGTTGATTTCAAATACTTGTCGACAGTCAGATTCATTACATCTGTCAAGCTGAAAATTATGAAAGAGAATGGAAAAATCCGATTACTATAACGCCTTAACAATTTTTACCAACACAGTTACTCTTGGCAGGTGTAGATTTTCTCCACTTTCTGTTTTACTTAAAAACTAAAAAAAAGATGCTCTCAGCTGTTGTAGCTTGTCGTATTAAAACTAATGAAAAACAAAGTTTTTTATACTTACGATCTCTTGTACGCTTAAGTTTACAGTTCTCCCTTCGCTCGGTGAAGACTGCACACGTTTTTCTTCTTGCCTTTTCTTGCTAGTTTTTTTCGAAGAAGCCGATGAAGCCTTTGGTTTTGATTTGTCAACACTTTCAGAGAAGAATGGTTTCTGCTGATTGTGCGATGGCCTGGTAGACAACATCAAGACTGAGCGGCATGGATATACTCCTATGATCTATCAGTGCTATTAGACTGTGAATAACATTGCAGCTTGAAAAACATTTTTAGTAAAAAAGGCAAAATTATTTTCTCAAATTGCAAACTGACAGTTTCGGACGCCATCTTGGTCAATAAATCCCATAATCCAATGGGTTTACTTCCCACAATGCACTGCTTTAATTTTGCCCTGGTTTGAAGATGGCGGGATGAGTGATCGATATGAGCCAATCGATAATCGAGTGTGTCTGTGTTGGTTTCGACTGTTTTACTCAATTTTATTGATAATTTGAAGTGTTTGATGGCCTATTATAACGTAAGAACAACTAAAGAGACAGGATCTTGAACTAAAAGCGGGAGATATCTGGCAGCGGAGGCTATGGCACTTTGCACCTTTGGCCTCCATGGTTGTCTCCTTTGTCGTCTCAAGTGTATTGTGTTGTTCAAGAGCAAACCTTAAGGCGAAAAGCAAACTGTTTTTATTTAGAAGAATAGCTTGGCAGAGAGGATTAGCTATGCGACCACTGCGCGTACTGAATGTTGCTGAGAAAAATGATGCAGCGAAGGAGCTGTCCAGAATCATGTCTAGAGGACAGAGCTCGCGGGTAGGTATGGGTAGGTAAAACAGGGTCCTGGGTGGGGGGTGGGTGGGGAGTTATTACTTCTGTGGGTGTGTGTCGCGTGACAGGTTCATAATTTTGGGGACTTTTGATCTATACTCTTTTTTTCTATAAGAATATATTTTATGAGAATATCGAGGCTGAAATTTACAAAATTTAAAGAATAAACCCCAGATGAAGATTTTGTGTGTTTGAAAATTGTAAATACAATACAGCTATGTGTTTTCAACTTATTCCATTCTCTAAATGGCAAAACTTGCCAACAAAATGAAAAAAACTGCACTATCAGTAATAGTGATACCCCAATATATTCTAAAATGGAAATGACATAAGCTATAATTTAACGATAATACAAGAATATTTTAGTCTAAAATTGGCAGAAAAATAAGAATATTCAGCCTGGGCTGGAAAAACAATATTCTTATACAACAAAAGAGTGTAGATCAGAGAAGCTTTCTAGAATGGGATATGATATTCCCAGGGTTCTCAATAGATTTTTAAGTAGGAGGTGATCACTGATAAAGTAGGAGGCTCTTCAGCAAAGCCAGAGGTGTCAAAACAAAGCAAAGAAAAGCGACTTAAACACAAAGTAAGCGGCTATAAATCCCAAAGTAAGCGGCAATCAATCGCCGGGTGCCGCCTTCTATTGAGAACCCTGTATTCCAAATGTACATTGCCATGGAGGCTTCAATTTATCAGCAGCCATTTGAAATTAATAATTATTGTATTCACAAGGAAATTGCGTGATAAAATGAGTGGAATTTCAAGAACTTGTTATCCCAGTTTTTGGTATCAAATTTGAACACCCAGGTAGCACATACCCACCCTAAACATACCTGAGTACCCCCACCCCCTAGGGATAGAGTAGGATGGAAGAAGGGTTACAGGAACCATCTCTTACATAAGACACCAGAAATACATGTACTGAGAAGTTTATAATAATGCCATTAACTTATCCACCATACAATTAAGCAGTATCTTATTTTCCGGCCAACTGGGCTGAGTAAAGTTAAACTTGGGCAGGTATAAGGTCACTGCAAATAGGCACAGCTTATAGAATTTCAGATTGTTTTAGAAGTGCCATCCATTGCATAACCTGTACTAATGCAAGATGATTAGATAAGTGTTTCTTACTTTGGCTGAAAACCTTCTGCGATTACCAGCAAAACTGGTTTTAACCAGTTTTTAAAAGAAGTCAAATTTAGTAATATGTTAGCTATACATGTATGTTCAAGGGTGCAATTTTGTTATAACCTTTACTAACCTAAAATTTGGTTTTGATTACTGAGTTGATGAAATCACTGTGCCGCAGTGAGAAGATTGAAAAGTTGCTGTTTCGAGTTTGCTGTTTTTTACAGCTTGTGTGCCCGTGCTGTAGTTTACAAATTAACTGCATGAAACTGTGTTGAATAATTGATGCTATTGTTTTTGATAGGCTTTGATTTCTTTGCAGAGAGAAGGGTTCTCAAAGTTTAACAAGATTTATGAGTTTGACTACAACATTTTAGGAAGTGTGAGTATTTAAAATGCATCTCTTTTCTCAGTTAATCACCTTTTAGAAACCTTTACACTCTATATATTAATAATTTTTTTATTCTCAATCATTACACATATACTTGTATGTATTGTTCACTATAAGCATAAAAATTTCATGTTTCCTGTGATTTTACTAATCACAGAATTCCACAATGGTGATGACTTCTTTGTCTGGACATATGATGACGTTGGACTTTACAGCCAGTCACCAAAAATGGTAAGGCCAAAGACTGAGACAAGGCTGTAACTCATTGTTTGCAATTATGCAGCATAGGTTACATAGTTATACATTGTAGAATGGCAGGGTATCTTTTGGGGGAAATATTGTGGTCTCCATTCAGTGAAGTGGTTTGCTCATTACTTTCCTGCAGTACTTAGCTGTTTAGTTCTATATTGAACCTTAAATAAATGAGCTGAGAGATGGTCTTATAAGCAGTAGACCAATGGTCCTCCCAATCCAAGTCTCTCATCACTGAAATTAACTACAACCCTGGTCAAAACTCTTGGGACACTAATGCAATAGGTCATCAAGTTGAGGCATCTTCCCTCCCCCCCCCCCCAATGCAGTGTTGACATTATGCATCCAAGTTGAATTCAACACAATCACAATCAACACTACTTGGGTGAGAGGGGGACAGCAGAAATAGCCCCTTAAAACAACATCCCCAAGCTTTTTAAAGAGGTATAATATGAGTTAACTTAGCAAAGTGTGTATTTGTGCCTAATTTCCTCAAGTGTCCCAAGACGTTTTGACCAGGGTTGTACAGGCTACTGTAAATTTTAATCACAACTATTTCAAGTAAATCTGGTTATTTTTCAGTTTTCAACTGTTGTTAATTCCTACAGGCATAGTTGTTCCCCAGTAGCACTGTTCAGTGCACCTGTTAAAAAGTTTGTTGGAGAAAACTTTCTTCCAATTAAAGTAAGAGCTTAAAATAATAATCCTATGTGTGTTAAAATTCAGCAGTTACAGGGTTGTGCTCAAGCAGAGCTCTAGCTCTACAGTTTCAGTACCCTAGATTTTACAGGCTGCGAGTACTAGGTCCCCTTCAATTTCCTTATTGCACACCTTTGATTTAGTGTAGCATGATTTACCTGCTAAACTCTAGACTATACATGTTGCTTATTTGAATAAGTTGCATTGCTAATTTATTAATGTGAAGATGTGTCTATCATGTTAGAAATTGCAAACAAGACGCGTACTTCAAAATAATGTGCCATTTGTGATCTGTATCTGCCTTGGTCCTCCTCTCAAAAGATAGTGTTATTTCAGTGTTAATTATGCTTCATTAAAATTCAGCTGTGTTTACACCTTTAATAATGTCTTTTGAATTAGAAATAAGGCAATAATATTGTGTCATATTATATAAAAATATTAAGCGTCAATTCCAAATTGTTTTACAGAGGACTTTGGAAAGAGAAGTGCGTGGCTGTGGAGTCTTAATTATCTGGACTGATTGTGATAGAGAAGGAGAAAACATAGGATTTGAAGTCATTGATGTGTGCAAAAATAGTATGTTATTTATGACATTATTGTTTCTCCCTTATTTTAACATGCTTGCAAAAACTATTACTATACTTGACAGAATTTAATAGTCTGAAAGGGTGCTTAAATTTAAACATACTGGAAACTTATTAAAATTTGTTAATGAAAAATAAAAGGTATTGAACTTGATGTTGATAATTAAACTAATGCGTCTGTTTTCCTTTTTTTTTAAGTCCGTCCAAACATAAGGATTTATCGTGCAAAGTTTTCTGAAATCACCCATCAGTAAGTAGTAAAAACAGTATTGTTATTTAAAAGCTGTGAAAATGATTTCAAAACATTTACTTTTTTTTACTAAAGGCAGCTCAAAGTTGCAATAGAAAACTACTGGCGTGCTAACCGTGTACAGGTAAAACTTTACTATTTTCGGAGAAAGCATGGTAGAGTGGTTAGAATGCTAGACTTGCAATCCAGAAGTCCCGAGCAGTGACCTCTTGTTGGATAGGTTTCTTGGTAGCCGCAAGTTCAAATCCTTGACTATGCTTGTAAATAGGCAACTATTTTGACTCAAGCAAGTTAGGATTCTTAGCCCTGTTGTGTACATATAAATTACGAACATTTTTATTTGTTTCAGTCATTGATTTGCTCAGTGTGACTTGCTGTTGTGCTATAACTGATGTAGAGGGTAACTAAAGCAAATTCATGTTTCATCTGTTATTTTCAGATCAGTTACAAGAGCTGTACAAAATTTAGTTGAGCCTGATGTGTTGCAGGCACAAGCAGTGGATGTTAGAATGGAGCTTGATCTTAGAATAGGTATGTTACAGGTCAACATTAAATTCGAGGGTAAAAATTTTTAACCTAGATTGATTCTCAATTTCCTTTGTCTCCTAGCCCTGATTATTGGTGAAATTATTAGGGCTAGGCAACAAAGGAAATTGAGAATCAACGGCCTGCATGTAACAGTGTAACAGTGTAACAGGTATATCCTGGTTTTCCTTGTACTTTCATCCATGGCTTTCAATAATTCACATAATATTCAATTCATGATCACAGTTCAACCTCTATAATGGCCATTTCTTTCTCACAGGATCCATCCTGTGTAATAAGGCTCCCCCGATAGTTAAAGTACATTTCTTGACTTAATTGTCTACCATCAAGAAAGATCTTGAATTCCTCGCCAGGCCTCTTACTAATTTTCATGCACATCCTGGCAATTATCATATGACCTGTACAGCCTGTGTGCACTTTCCTATAAGGCCGTATGAGGGCCATACGCGTCAAGTGATAGTGCCAGAAAAACACTGAGCCAAGCTAGTAGAAAAGTCAACGTGAATAGAGGCAAAGGGTGCCATGAATATGTTTTAGCTCTGTCAGAAAAATTCAAAATCACAATAGCAATATGATAAAATGCTTATTGGCTGAGTGTTGGGCGAGACGGGAAAACATTTTGGCTCTCAGTCAGGCTTCATGGACCTCAAGCCAAATATTTTCCTGCCCAGCCCTCCCACCTAGTCAATATGCTCATATTACTTTAATTCTTTTCTTGTTGGGTAGGTGCTGCATTTACTCGGTTTCAAACCTTAAGGCTGCAGAAAGTTTTTCCTGATGTTTTGAGCGAAAACCTTATAAGTTATGGTAAGTATTTTTAATGATAACAAAACTTTATTGTTACAATTTTGTAGAAAATAGGGCAGCCTTTTTTTTTCATTTTTAACGAGATACTATGTTTACACTGTATATTGATTTGTAGAGTGGTACAAACTACCCTTATCTGACAGACATTTATTGATCTCTTGTTTTAGGCAGCTGCCAATTTCCTACTTTAGGTTTTGTTGTTGAAAGAGTAAGTGATTAGTATGCTTGTTTTGTTATAAACTTGTTCAGGTTCATTTCAACATTAAATAGTCTTGTATATCCTAGTACATTAAAATGAATCATAAGTGAAAATGATTGCCGACTAGTTCAGGTCTGTCACCATTAGGGCTGGCTAATTAAACCATGTTGTGTGTTTTTTTCCCTAAGTATAAACAGGTACAGCAGTTTGTACCAGAGACATTCTACAAGATTAAAGGTGGGTAGGCTAGAGTGGTCCTTTGAATCCCGCATAGTGTGGTGCAAATAAATTATTTATTTTTCAGCCAATTCATTTTTTGATCATTACTAGCATTGCTGACAAGAGAAGGAATTTGTTTGTGCAATTTTCTTGAAATTCATCAAATTGTTAATAGTCTAATAATTATGTTTGAGTGGACAAGATAGTAATAAAATGAGTTTTCTTTTAGTTACTCATCAAGTAGAAGACACAAAAGTGGATTTTACCTGGAGAAGGTAGTTTTTTTTTTCTTGTCAAAGTTACACGTAACATTACTTCAAACTACTGAAGGAGGCTCTGACTATATTAGCATTTTGTATTCCTAAATTTTAACATTGATCTGAATGGATTGGAATGCTCCTGCTGTTGTGATTTGCATTTCACTCTTGTGACAATTCATGATCCTAGGGGAAGACTGTTCCACCGTTTACCGTGCCTTGTCCTCTATCAAATTTGTTTGGAGGTGAGATATTACATTGTACGATCATGCCTCAGTAGAACCCCAAATAAATAGGTAGAAGTATTCTTTAACTTGTGTAAGGAGTGTCAAGTAGTAGTGTATAACTCAGTATGTTCAACGCTTGAAAAAAAAATTGAATTCACGCTTTTCCTGTGGGCAGTTCAGCTCCCACATTTTGCTTCCCATGGTAACTTCTTGCTTGTCGATCAATCAATCAACTTTACTGGTATATCCAATTAAAATGGGTTTTCACATACATCTGTTAATTTTCCTTTCAATTTGGCAAAATCTAATATCGAACAATAGAAATTTCTAAGTAAAATGGTAAAAACTGATTTTGATAGACATAAAATGATTTTGTTAATCCCGAGGAATGAAAAAGCGCAAAAAGTTCAAAGGAAAGAGAATCCATTTTTGGGCTCAAAGCTTTTTTTAACCCATTGGGCAAAGCAAGAAAGTCTTTAAAGTTATGAAAATTGACTACTGGACAAACGACTTTTGTTAGCTAGCCCTTTATGTTTCTTATGCCATTCTTTTATGCAAAGATGCAAGACGTTTGGGTTTTAAAGAGTGGGGTTTTTTTTTTTCATATTCTTGTCACCATGACATGTTCACTCTGTTTTAACGATTCTCAAACCTTTGTTATTGACTTGACATCGTGGCGTCAATGTTGTCAACAATTAGTAATAGTCTATTTCACTCCTCTTTATTCAATTTTAAGTGAAGAGCTTTCATTTGATACTGGCGTTAAGCATGTAACCCTTTCTCAGGGATTTCACTAAGATTTCAAGTTGCTGGGTAAATACAACAAGTAGGCAGGGAATAAGACAGCTATAGATTTCTTTCAGTGCTATGTTTCTTCTATTTTCTTATGAAAGTAGCGAGGGGCCACATTCATAGTAGCCGGAGGAAATCCCCAGCCCACACCTCTTAATGACAGCGCTGCTTTCTTCATGTGAGAATAGCCATCACATGTCTAGAATATTTATCTTTTATTAAAGAGTTTTACCCCCACTTCTGGATGTTGTCTAATAATAGACGTTTACTAGGCCTCAAGTTTGCCATGTCATGTCAGTGTCAATCTTGATTTTTTGATCTTTTTTTGTCTTGTTTCTTATTCAATAAGGATCCTACAGCAAAAGTTCTGAGTACTTCATCTCATCCCAAGAGCAAGTGGAGGCCATTACCATTGGACACAGTGGTAGGTGCATTGAGATCCCTCTTGAAGTTATAAGAAGATGCATGTTGCATTTTAATAAAACATTCTTTATGTTAAAGGAACTTGAAAAACTGGCATCACGTAAGCTTAAAATCAATGCTAAGGAGACAATGAAAATAGCAGAAAAACTCTACAATCAGGGGTAAGTACATTGCTCATTTCACTGCCTAAATGATTGTTAATTTGTTGGTAGCGTTGATAGTGTTGTTTTTAAAACATTTACTATATAAAAGCCAAAAAAATGAAGCAGATCTATATGCATATTGTTTCAGGTTCATCAGTTATCCACGCACAGAAACAAACATGTTTCCCAAGTCTTTAGATCTGAGGCCTCTTATTCAAAATCAAACTGTTGATGCTAACTGGGGAGGTAAGTTCAAGATTGTTTAATACAGAGTACCTTATTGTAGGAAATTAATGCCATTTTAAAAAAATCACGCTAATTTAACACATCTCAATTTACGTTGACGTTAATTTAAATCACACTATTTCACATCATTGTTGTTTTAACAGCACCTTTAGCTTATTTCAATAACAAAACCTTGTGTGCCCATAACGCCTCTATCAACGCCTCGGAGTCACTATCTGACAGTTCTTCTTTAAGAATTGAGTTCAAAATGTCTTTCGACTAGTCTTCATATTGATCCGTTTCCTCAAGGGGATAACTGACTTCTTCAGTCTTTCTTCTTAAAATGTCCATTTACGTTTATTTCCGTTTTTTTCTTTAGATATGTATGTTGAGAAGTTTGCAAATTTCGTGTTAATTTGATGTATGTAAACCTAACTTTTGGAAAATTCCTGTTAATTTTGTGTAACATGAATTTTCTTCGCATTGTTAACGTGCATCGTTAATTTCCTATAATAAGCTAATGAACCGTATTCAAGATTGATGTGAAAAGGGTGTAAAAAGTTTCAGTCTTTTTCTAACTCCTCCAATGAAACTGTCTATACCTCATTGGTGTGCTTTTTCTAGCTAATCTAATAGTTGTTGTTCCAAGACTCTTTTTAAAGAAAGTGACTTTTGAAGGAAGGCTAGTAAGAAATCTAGAGTGCTCTTTGTTAAAACTGCTTCCTTAATGTAATTGTTATCATTGTCCTGTTACTTTTGTAGAATTTGCTGCTGGGGTGCTAGAGAGAGGCCCCAATCCTCGCCGTGGAAACAAAACAGACAATGCCCACCCTCCAATCCACCCCACAAAGTACACAGATGGCTTACAGGTAGCTACAGTATCATATTTCTTTTTTATTGTGATTTTTTAAAGAAAATCTTGTACCAAAGAGAACATAATAACAGTCTGTGAGTTAGGAAAATCCTGAGTCAACAATAGTGTTTCTTGAACTTCCTTGTGGATAGAGAGTAAAAGAATAATCAGTACTGTTAATGTGTACAAATTGGTAAAATTTTGATCTGAATAATTCATGTACGGATCTATATTTTTTATTAATGAATAAATATTCAAACACTGTTTCATCAGTTTATAATTTAATAGAAGTCCAAGGCAAAGAAAGGTAAAGTGATTTCAATCAACACTGAAGCTGGTTGTTTGTCACAAGTGGTGTAAAGCAATGCATTTTGTACGTAAGTTTTTCAAAAAAGTAACTTACCAAACTGAAACTTAACATGACTTTATTTTTCAGGGCAATGAAAAAAGGCTGTATGAATTCATAGTAAGACATTTTTTAGCCTGCTGTTCTGAGGTGAGCAGTCTTGGTTTCCTTACTGTGCCAAAATGATGACATATGTTTTTGTTTTGATCTTCCTGCTGCTGTTCCCAGCTTCTCTATGAGATTATGATAGCATCATGTTTTTATTTATAGGATGCAAAAGGGCAGGAGACTAATGTAGAAATAGAGATTGCTGGAGAAAAGGTACACAACCCGCATGTAACTTACAGCTCTGATAGAACTGGAATGTGTTATTATTCACAAAAACTTTATTCTTATAAACTCTTATGAGTTTGGCACCAGATCAAGGAGCCTTGAATTATTTGAAAATTTCTTTACAAGAATGGGGTATGTGCCTTCTTTGGTTATTTGTTTTTAAAGCAATTTCCAAATTTGGATAACAAACACAGCATTACAAAGTTTCAACAGGCTACAAGAAAGTGTGCTGGGCACCTTACATATGCTGGAATCACTCCTGGATTTATTAAGATCATAATCTACAACCAATTAATTTAAGGGAATTGTTTAGAAGGCTTGCTGTTCAAGCTTAAAATTAAAAAAAAATAATGTTTTTAATAAAGTATGATCATCTTCTAGTTTACAGCTAAAGGATTGATGATTACTGCCAGGAACTATCTTGATGTGTATCCATATGACAACTGGAATGCAAAGGTAACATATCTCATGGAGCTAATATTTACAGCGCTGTCACTAAGATTTCAAGTTGCCGGGTAAATACAACAAGTAGGCGGGGAATCAAACAGCTAGGGATTTCTTTTAATATTATTTTTCTTCCATTTTCCTGTGAAAGTAGCTCGGGCGGCATTCTTAGCAACTGGGGAAATCCCCAGCCCCCTCCTCTTAATGACAGTCCTGGTTTACCAAAAAAATTATTACTCTGTGGGGCTCAGAACCTTCTCTTGCATCCAACCAAAAGTGTAAAATGTAATAAGGGTAATGTATTGTTAACAAAGATTTTTTCAACCGAAGGTTTTTACTTTACAGTTATGATTATTTTACAACATAGTCCACACACCTTGTTTTAAACCTTTTGAAGTTCCTACAGGGCTCAAAAATCATTTGAATCCCAGCACATCCTTTAGGCCAGGACCTTTTACATTAATTTTTTCTTGCCTGTTCCAACTACTTGCTTGTCTTAGTTAATGATTTAGTTAGAGGATGACCTGCCTCTACCCTTGCCTATTGGGCTAGTAAGCTTTAAAGGTTCCTTGCCTAGCAAGAAAATCTTCTCATCCCTGGCTGGTAGATGGGACCTTTTTTTAGCCCTGTACCTTGCTTGGTTCTTTTCTTTGTTATTTTAATTTTGTTCAATTTTTTTAAAAATAACAAGAATGCTGTTACAGCGGCATTCAGTCTTGCCTGCTTGGAGATTAGATTGAGAAACGAGGAGGCGATTAATTCTATAAGAAACGTGATTTACTTGCTAAAGGTTTTTTTACTTCCTGCTTTATCGACGTTGATACTTTTTATTTGTTTCTTAATTGATTTAGTACGCGTGTTAGCGACGACCAGAAATACCTTTGCGATCGCAAACCAAACCAACCATACCCTATTTCAGACCAAAATGGCTAAAAACCCATACCCTTTGGCACCCCACATACCTTTATAGGGTATATAAGGGACTATCCCCTGGGGCGGAAAATGCGTTGCAGATTATGAGTCTCACTGCTTATGTAAGCGAGACTAAAAATATATATATGTGTTTTTCCATACATGTGTTTGTCATTTTGAAGTGTTTATATGGCAGTATATTATGCATAAATAGTTTATGCCTTATTTCTTTTGCTTGTCTTGCTTTAGACAATCCCAGTGTATAATCAAGGTGAAGAATTTCAACCAAGCTCCATTGAGGTTGGTAAACAAAGTGCCAGTTTCTCTCGTTAGTTGTATCAGATTGGTTAGTGTACCAGGTCCAATGTAGTAGCAGGTGTGTATGGTGTTGTTCAAGTCATATCATTGGCTTCACTTTTTTTTCCTTTTTTGTAAAGAGGGAGGGGCTGGTTACATATGATAATGAGTTAAAACAGGAAAATAGAATTTAAACCAAGGAAAAAACTGACCGTTAACATGTATAATAATGTGGACACAATATTGTAACAGTAATAATAATAATAATAATAATAATAATAGTAATAATAATAATTATTATTATTATTATTTTTATTCATATTTTTATGATTATTATTACTGTTGACAATATTGTGTCCTAGTGATGTTTACTGATGGTCATTTTTCTAAACAGCATGTTGTAATCACCAGAGATTGTTATCTAAATTTCTGTCAATGATAATATAATGTGTGGCAAAACTAGTATTGTCACAGATAGAAACTAATACAATGTACTTCAGCCACTATGTCTTTGGAAGAAAGAAGGCTTCAAAGTGTTTTTTAGAGTGTCTGCTATTGTTAAATGTTTGATGTTCAAATAAAGCTATCATGTCTTGTCAGATGCTTGATGGGGAAACCAAGCCACCTCCACTGTTGACTGAAGCTGACTTGATTGGCTTGATGGAAAAGCATGGGATAGGTAGGAAGAAAACAACGAAATTGAAGTCACTGTTTAAAGTAATCTGCCAGGTGACGTACAGTAAAAACCCTCAACTAAAAACCTAGTTTTTAAGAACTTGTTGGGCTAAAATTTGTCAGTCAGGCCCCCTTTAGACATGAAACTCTTTAGGTTCTTGTTTTCCAAAATCTATAACAAAAATTCTTTACACTTGGGCAAAAGGACTTCAAAATTCATGTGGTCAGTGCTTCATTCCTTCTTCTCGTAGTTATTTTTACATAAATTCCCAGTTGGTATGAAGATTGTTTATAAGAAATAATCTGAATACCACTAAATGCTCATAGCCACCATGCTTTTGTTTCTTCAGAAGATAAGAACCTATTTAAGTAGCATAAATTTGGACTAATTCCCATTAATATGTACGAACCTGTTAAGGCTAACTTGGGAAAATACAGGTTCTAAGTCCTGAGTTTTTACAGTATATGAAAAGCCAAATCATAGTTTTTTTAACCTCAGGGACAGATGCTACACATGCAGAGCACATTGAGACCATAAAGAACAGGTGCTATGTGGGAGTACAACAGGATGGGACCTTTCTTCCAGGCCAGCTTGGAATGGGACTTGTTGAAGGTAAGATTTGAATCCAATGAATTACATTATTTAACAGCAATAAGCTTTATTAGGAGTAAGAATGAACTAGTGTCTTGGCTTAGCCTTATTTCATGAAGGGAACATTTTTAAACGTTTGATTCTCTGTAGCAAAGGATAGCTATGGAGAAAATGATCATACAGGGAATCCAATTTTTGGCAAATTCCTCATGTTACCACTGTGCAAATGAGTCTTCTTCATTATCATTAGTTATGAACGCGTGTTTGTTTAAAAATGTCAACCATACGTAGGAGGTACATATAATCAGAATTGGCCATTTCCTCCCAGTCCTTTTATTTCCTTATTTCTTTTTCTCTTTTTTAAAGGTTATGATCTGATGGGATTTGAGCTTTCAAAACCAAGATTAAGGGCTGAACTTGAAGCTGATCTTAAAAGGCAATGACAACTTCTATTCACATTTTTGATTTGTTGTCAGCGGTTCAAGGTTATATGTTAGGACCACTAAGTATAACTAGTGACTTGTGTGGCATGTTTGTGTAAGAGCTACAAATTGAGTGTTTTGATAGACTGTTAAACAAAGACTGCGAGTAGTCCCCCATTTTTCCTCAGTGATAGTAGAGCGAGCGAAAAAAAATCTCTCCCCGCCACGTGTCGCCTTTTCTCGCGTGGGGTGATTTTCACGTACGCTCGCGTTTCGCTCGCTCTACGATCGACTATCCCTGAGGAAAAATGGGGTACTACTCGTAGTCTAGTTAAACAAGCTCTGTTAGTATCACTAGGGTCAGACCAGTGGACCAATGTAATGACCAAGTACTAGCAGCTCCCATTCCTTGCAAAAATACTCTTACAAGCTGGTGCTGGTCTTGGCTAATTTTGTGTCAACTTACTGTTTTGGCAGAATTTGTGAAGGAACACGAAACAAGGATGGTAAGGCACCTTAGACTTTGTAATGCATTTATTGAATTTAACCTGCCAGTGATTGTCACCTCTGTTTACCATATATACGTACACTAGCATCCTCCTTCAATGGGCAAGGATTCAGGCAAATCATTGCTTAACTACATGTAAACGTGGCCCTGGTAGAGCAAAATGGGAGGGCTGCTTGCCCAAAAAACAAGCTTTGAAGTCCTTTTTTTTTCACATAAGCACCCTCTACCCTCCCCTAAGAAAAAATTACCAAATGTGCTGTATGGAGGTAGAATAGAGGCATTATTCGCTGATTTGAGCATTTACTGTATAGTACTCCACTCTCACCATGTGGCCAGGGTTCAAATCCCGGCATCAACACCATATGAGGGTTGGGTTTGTTTTTGGTTCTCTTCCTTGCTCCAAGAGGATTTTCTGGGGTTCTTTGTTTTTTCCTTCTCCTCAAAAACCAACACTTCCAAATTCCTTTCGACCTGGAATGCACGGGCACATTGAAACGAGTTAAGTGCTTCGTGGGTAAACAAATTACAAGTTACAATTACAGGATAAAGTAAGAGTACTTTAAAGTTGTGAGGTTTCGAGTGAATGACCATCCTTCAGGATTTCATCTTTACACTAATACAGATTATGTTTCAGTTGCTCATTACTGTATGTTATGAATCCCTCTGAAAGAAGTAAAGAAGAGAATACCATGCCATGCTGAAAAAGGCGTATACTTATTCTTTCTTTATTTAGATGTTCTTGTAGAGCAAATAGCAAAGTACAAGGAACAGTTTGTTCAGGCTGTGCAGGAGGTTTGTTTAGATTTCATGTCTGTTAAACTGCCAACGGGAAAGTATTTGGGGCGATGGGTCAATGTAGTTTAATGATCATCAAATGGCGCTTGTTCTTTCTCAGTTATGTCCGAGTAAATGACAATTGACTCAGCTCTTCTTGCCAAGAGGAGTGGCCACGTGCTGTAGAGAAAGGGAATAACTGATAAACAAAGTTCCAGAAACAATATGTTGTTATTTCCACCTAACAGTTGCATTTATCTTATCTTATCTTATTCCTTCCTTACCATAGGCAGTCAAATTGGACGAGGCTCTCTCAAATTATTTTGGAGATCCTAAAGAGTTTCTTGATGAAGGTTTGTACAAAAACATGTTGAGGTACAATTTTTTTACTTGTGTAGAGTTTAGGTTTCATGTAGATTGAGCTTTTATTAAAGGGCGGGTCGTATCTATTTGTACTGAATTTAAATAACATTTGTAGTGTGGGGTTTGTCGAGTCTGTAAGCTACGTTTCTCTACATCCTTTGAATAGGCCCTTTGAAGCTAGTCATTCACGTGTCACATAACCGCCTTACTGGAGAGCAACAGACACACAGGGACAAGGGAAACTAAGAGCTCGCATCATTTAAAATGACAGTGGCAGATCCAAGGGAGGGCCCCCTTATTTTTATACCAAACTGAGGCCCGAAGGGCTAAGAAAAATTTTTTGGAGATCGCCCCCCCCCCCCCCCTCCCCGCCTTATATCAGGGTCTGGATGACGGGACCCCCGCCCCCTTATCTCACGGTCTGGACCCGGCGCTGAATGATAGTCGCCTTTATAGTTTATCTTGTTCCAGTGCATCCCTCGCTCTCCAGTATGGCGGTTTGGTACAATGTGAATGACTATGACTGCAAAGAGCCTATTATAGCCTGACATCACTACTTTGCCACTTTGTCTAACTTTTAAATGTATTTTCGTCAAATTGCCGTTCTCATAGCATCTGTTTAATTGCAGTTCTGGGTATAGAGAATGAGAGAGGGGCAGAACCTTTGCGTCTTTGTCCCAGATGTAAGACAGAACAAATGGTACTGAAGAAAACAAAGGATGGCAGGTGAGAGGGTTTATGAGAACAATAAACCTCCAGATGAAAGAAAGATGACATACATACCTGAGTATAAACTGGGAGTCTGCAGGGTATAAGGGACCAAGCTTGGCTTTTACCAAACCAGCAAGAGTTAGGCTAACTACTAATAAGCACTGCAGAAATTTTTTCTCTTCTATTATGTTTGCCAGCCTTGTTAGTCTCGCTTGCGTAAGTAGCAAGACTCATAATATGCAACGCGTTTTTCGTCGTATTTAGGACACAAAGGGGGGTCATTGTGCCAGGCGTTCCTAGCGGAGACCGTGGAAACTGGGAATAAGAATCGTTGCGTGACCGAAGCCACGCATAATTTGCGAAAAAAAATAAGAATCTTAATTAGCAAAACTGCGATAGTCGGTTGTTGTAAACTTTCATTGTATGCAAATGGCCTTTGTGACGAGCATGCGGTTTATTTTCAGCGATGATTGAAATGACGTGCCTTGTAAATCACTTCTTTGATCTCTGGCAATGGTGTAATTTCTTTGGAATCGAGGCCCTTGAATTTTTTAGTATGTATACACGCGTATAGCCTGCGATCGCAGAGGTATTTCTGGTCGTCGCTAACCCGCGTACTAAATCAGTTCAGAAACAAATTAAAAGTATCGACGACTATAAAGTAGGAAGTAAAAAACCTTAGGCGAGTAACTCCTGTTTCGTGTAGAATTAATCGCGCCCTCATTTCTCGATCTAATCTCCAAGTCTTTCGGGATCCTTAATCATTCACAACAGATAACCAAACAATCAAAGAATATCTTATATAATCAGTAATATTGCTGGGCTGTAAGACTTCAAGTTGCCGAGTATATGCAATCAGTCGGTGGGGAACTAATTAGCCAGGGAGTTCTTGTGGACTCATCTTCCTTTTGTTTCCTACGAAGTTAGCCAGGGATCATACTCATTCGTAGTAGCTGTAGGAACCCCAATCGTTAGTGATAGTCTTAATATTGGATGAGCCTGAGTATGATATGAAGAATTGTGCTGTTCGAGGAGGGGGTGGAACACTCTCCGGGATCAGCATAATTCTCCATATCATACTCAGCCTCGTCGAATAACTCTTAACGATTAGATATATGTTACGATTGAGGCGAACATTATGGGATAAGCAATGATAACAATGGTAAAGCAAGACGCGTCTATGACGCTATCTGTATCTTACTTGTCTCATCCACAGTTTTATGATTGGATGTGAAGGTTATCCAAGGTGCCGTTCTAGTGCCTTTTTCCCCAAATTTGTCTTGGAAGCTACAGTGCACGAATCTTTGTGTCCAAATTGTCAGCCAGGAGATGTGCACAAAATCAGCTTCAAATTCAAGAGAGGCTCTGTCCCACCAATGATGCCGTTGGAGTAAGTTTTTTTTTTTTCATTTATTTATTTCAAACAAAGTTAGTTAAACGTTTAATCTTTTTAGAAACGTTAGAAAAGCTAATGAACGTGAGAAGTTGTTGTTGTTGTTGTTGTTGTTGTTGTTGTTGTTGTTTTTCATTACAGACGTTCGTGGTGTATCGCCTAAGCCATTGTTGAAGTTTATGCCATATGATTGATATTTTCACTGGCATTCACTTGAAAAAAATTTTCTTTTTAGGTACGTGGGCTGTGTTGGTGGATGTGATGATACTCTCAGAGAATTATTGGACTTGAAAGATTTGACAAGACTGCCTTCGGATTCAGGTAGGAACTACTAACTACACACATATTATTTGTTCACTTGAACAAATGTACCATTTTACCAGCAAAGAGAGCAAATGTCCCTTGCACCCGTAGGATTTTTTTTGTCAGGAATTGTGGCCCTGAAATTGCTGAAAACGCCGTGAACAATCCCCTTTCCTTCACCCTTGATCATGGTAAGCAGTGGATGTGACTGAACGAGAGACTACTGAATTTGTATCATTTTAGAGGCCGATGCTGGAATCTGAAATTTTCATATTTGCTATCCTGTTAAACCCCTATAACTTTTTTTCTCTTCTAAAACTACTTTTCCTCTATTTTTATTTTTTTCAGGAGGCGCAAATTTTTCTGGAAGAGGAGGACGAAATCCTCAATCCGGCAGCAGAGGAAAGAAACAACCTATAGGGCGTGGTCAAAGTACAATTAACAATCCCAGAGGAGGTGGTAATCAACTATCTACAAGGCCTGCTCAGCGGAGAACTGCACAAACGGTTCAGACGAATGGGAACGAAGGACATAATATTACCACTTCTGGTCCGGCTTGGCAACAATCTAATGGGAACAGTTCATCATTTCTAACAGGTATAAAAACTGAAAGGTTAATAATCAACAGAAAAGCTATAACTAGGGTAATATATAATTATTATTTATCTAAGGGTCAGTTTATGCCGTCTATCGGCAACCAATTTGTCTGATCTTTTAAACCTTGTTAGTTCTATATAGTTTAATATAACATTACAAAATGTTTTAATTCTAGAATGTTTTATTTTGCAAACATGGTGTTATGAGGTCACCTAAACGTTCCAAACATAATATCGTTAGTTTTTACACCTAATTACTAATTGCCTTTGCTTTACAGGTTCAGGTTTTAATCAATTTCCTTCGGAAGGCTATTTTGGTGGGTACGTTCTGTGTTAGTGTTTAATGTGCCATCATAATACCATTGAGCTAATTTGAAAGGGACTCATTTTTTCATTCTCGAGAATTCGTGTTATGCACTATTTATTTCATCTGATTTTGTCCTTTTGACAGACAAGACAATGAGAACTGTGTGGTTTGCACTTGTGGACAGTCAGCAGTAAAGTTGACTGTGAGAAAAGATGGGCCCAATAAAGGTGAGTTAGAACACGGTAGTTACACAAGACCTGTGGGACATAAAATGACTGGACAAGTCTAACATGACACCTAAACTGATACCATCATTACACTTTAACGAGTCTCAGTTGCTATCAATAGTAGCAAAACTGGAACCGTCAGATATGGAAATGTCAAACCAGTTCGATAATAGCCAGTTGTAGAGTCGTATGGCGTAAGATGCTATCTGAGGATGGTGTAATCTATAATCGAACTGGTTTTAAAGGAGGCCACGTAATGGTCGATACCTGCTCTTACTCACCTTTATTGCGATTTGAGGATGGTTTACCATTTCACTTTTCACTATTTCACTTTGTAGGTCGACCATTCCTGTGGCCTGCTTTAAAACCAGTTCGAGTATAGTCAGTTGAAGTTCAGTTTAAGTTTTCAGGTCGTATGGCGGAAGATGCACCTCAGCTGAAGATGGTATACTTTTTCACTTTGTAGGTCGACCATTTTACAAGTGTTCCAATAGAGACGGTGGTTGTGATTTTTTCCTATGGGCTGATGATTCAGGGAGTTCCTCATCATTCAGTCCCGCAGCACCTCCGGTGCCATCCAATAGCATCAGCAGGAATAACGTTGGTGGGTAACAGAAGAGTTGGTCACTGGTAGTGCAACCACGTTAACCTGGGCCACTCAGACAACATCGAATTATAGGAAAGTAACAGTAACTTTTGAGAAAGTAGTTTTTAAGCCAATCAGCAGCTCACAGGGAACAACAACCTAATGGAAGCACAAATATATCAAAAGCGAAATTATCCAATAAAAAACTTTAACATTCGGCAAAGTTTTATTGTTTGTAATTTTAAAGAGAACGCTCGTGGGACATATTTGTCTGTTAGAATGCTGTGATTTCGTCATTAACAATCAACTTCATGCGATTTATAGGCAGAAAACTTAACCAAAGTGTAGGTTTCTCACTTTACCGTCAGGCTCTTTCACGGACCTCCCAGAAAACTGATTTGCTTTACTGGGATTAACGGTCACGTCTGTAGGTTGTAATTGGTATATTTTGATCCTTTTTCTTTGTTTTGTTGCAATTATTTAATTATTAACAACCAACTTTCCCGGAATACGTTTTTCTCTCTGTTGTCCGAGTGTTTCAGTTATGTCTAGGTGGCCTTGGTATAGACAGATTTGTTATTGAGACTGAATTTTATTTTTTTTGTAGGGCATTAATTTCCCTAGAAAGAGTTTTGAGATTTTTGTTATTTTTGTTTACAAGGAATTCGTAGTTCTGTTTTCATTATCATTTAGCAATGGATGTGGTCATAATAATTGCCGTTGCTTTTCAGGTCCACGTGTTAATCACTTTCTGACTTCTGTAGGCCCCTTTGGTGGGTACGTTCTGTATTTTTGTTACATTAAAGTTGTTGTCGATAGAGTAAATTTTCAGGTGACAGTCAAAGGTAAACTATTCAGCCTCTTAATGAGTTGTTACTGGTTATGTCTAACAGGTCAGACGAAGAAAACTGTGTGGTTTGTACTTGTGGACAACCTGCTTTAAAACTGACAGTAAAGAAAGATGGACCTAACAAAGGTAAGATTAATGAAGCCTACCTTACCCCTGTGCAATTGTAAATTGTACGGAGTAGCTACAAAATGCCTGCATGACATACCAAGTGATAAGACTAGTCATCTTGAAAGTCGGGGTACATTCTCCAACCCCCCTGCCTTTTGCCCTCGTTAGGTAAGAGTGTGGGGCTAAAAAGCAGCTGTTGAAGCCGTGATATTTTGGACTGGTCCGCTGCCATCGACCAATAGGTCTAGACAGAGAAATTAACAAGGTGTTGTGGTACTTATTTCGCTACTTACTTTAAAATTCTAGGTCGAGAATTTTTCAAGTGTTCCAACAGAGACGGTGGATGCGATTTCTTCCTGTGGGCTGACGATGATTCAGGGAGCTCTTCATCATTTAGTCATGCAGCACCTCTGACCCCCTCCAATAACATTAACAGGAATGGCGCAGGTTGTTATTAGAATATAGAATAAGCAAGTACAGAAGTGCAATTTCATGGCAGAGTTTGTGAAACAGAAATACATATTTTTCAAAGTATGCCATGGCGGAAGATTCCAGTTGCCATGTACATGTAGAAGTTGCCATGACCCACGATATACTAATTACCTGTCATCTATTCTGTCATCGTTCAGAAGTCGTGGAACAAAATACCTGAGCTGATACGGTATCATTAAAGAACATGTAACGAAACTACAATGGTTATGCTAAGAATATTGTTCTTTTACCCTAGGATTCTATTCGGGGCAAAACTCGACTGTCGACAACAGGTACGTTTTATTCTTGGAACAGTTTACTTCACATTTCTAGTTGTTTTAAAACTTCGTATTTTTGTCTTAGGGTGGATTTCCACTGTCGCGTAATTTTTACATGCGTGTACGCGCACGTTAAAATGCGTGAAGTTGAGCGAGATTCACCTTTTACTTTTACGCGCGATCTTGTACGCATTGCCTCTCTTGTATTTGCGAACGTAAATATAACGCACGTACCAACGTAAAAATTATGCGATAGTAGAAATCCACCCTTACGGACGATACTGGGTTGTTTTCCAACGGTAACGAATAGGTTGATTTCCACTGACGCGTTTTTGGCTACGCACGTTAACGCGCGTAAATTTTAATCACGTAAATAAAATAGAGGAAAGATATAAAGTGTTGAGATTAAACGTTAAGTTGAACGAGGTTCTACCGTTACGCTTATGTGCGATCTTTCATACATTGCTTCTATTTTATTTGCGAACGTAAATTTTACACACATAAAAATTACGCGACATTTGACATCAACCCTCAGTCTTATTTGTACGATTCTTTAAATGTTGTAGTAGTTAACTGTAAATTGAGCGACTTATCCGAGTGTCTAGTTCATTTTAGCAACTCCTTCTTTGTAGACCACATCCGCTAAAAATTCTTAATATTAACAGGATGGTAATGCCATTAGGTTTCTTACCCTCTCCGTCATTAATGGCTGATGTTTGCAATTCTTTAATATTTAATAATGCTTAATTTTGCATTTGTAGCGGAGCAAGTCCCTGTTGTCACTGCGGGCAGCCTGCTGTGAGGTAAGCATAGAATGACCTACAGTGTGGTTTAAAGAGCTGATGACACGAAATTATTTTAAACTGATTTTGGTCCTTAGTTTAAGTAACAATTGCGAACTTTAAAAATATGCCCCCCCCAAAAACTTTTCTTGAATTTTGCTGTCCAAAAACTGCTTTTTCCCCTTCAGAAATGTCACAAAGGCTTGGAAAGAGTAAAGGATCAAAGAAAGGCTAATGACGTCTAGTGGCGTTAGTTACTCTTCCGATTCTGGTCACTGCTTTGTGTTTTGTGGAATTAAACGTTCAACTTGACTGTAATTAAGGTATAACGAAGGAAATGAAGATTCTGAATCCTTTCGTATTTGCGGCCATCTCGCTAAATTATTCTACATTCTTGCAAATCACTCTACGTCATACTTGTCAATTTGGCCCCGCGATTGGGCTGACGTTTTTAAAGGCAAATTCGCGTGATTTAAAGAGGAAAAAATGGATTTTGCAAAATTATTGACAGGTTTAAATTTAGGGTACATATTTTACACATATTTTGTAGAATGAAAAACTACAAAAAGAAATTCATATACACTTAAAACGAATTTTATAGCTATGAAACGCCGAGAAAACTGTACAAACCCAAGCTTGTGCAGTGTTGATCTGTTTAAGTCTTGAGCCGTTTTTCATGAGAATAAAGCCTGAAGGCCCCTGAATGTCAAACGGGTTGCTTATGTTCACGTTGCGTACAAACGCTCTAGGTGTTCTTGATTTCCAACCAATTCTAGCTACTAACACTATGACTTCACGCTGTTTAGTCGCACAGTTTCCAAAGAAGGACCAAACAAGGGCCGACCATTTTACTGTTGTTCTAAGCCCAGAGGCCAGGGATGCGATTTCTTTGAATGGGGAGACACTACCGGGCCATCAACAGCCAACAGTTACAAATATAAAGGACCGTCTGGTGCAGCACGAAATGGTGGAGCAACCAAGAAGCGAAAGTGCGGACTCTGTCATCAGGAAGGTAGGACGGAGATAATAGGAACTTTAAGCAAATCTCTATGGCGACCTCTATTACGGCGGTGGTGGATGCGGAGTGCTGGAGAGAGTACGTCATCGTAGCCCGCCAAATTTCAACTTTAAGCAAGCAGTATCCAAATAGTGACTACGAAGTTTATTGCTCATTTGCTTTCGTTGACGACGGGACGACTTAAGGACTGGAAAACCAGAAGCGTCAAATACTTTCTTGATAAACTCAAAAACAATCTATGATAGGTTTTAAAATCATTGATTGTAAATAAATAGGAGAAAAGTCGAATATTATACTCACGTAGTAACGACTAAGCCACAATATAGGTCTTCACGTTGTAGGATTTTGCGCTACGACGAAAGGTCAATTCCAAGCATGCGCACTGCATCATTTTAGTAGAGGTCGCAGTAGTGATTTGCTTAAAGTCCCCAATGTAGTCTTAATATTTACGCAGAAGTTACTTAACGCCACACATTTCTTTATATCGAGTTGCAATGTTTGCTCCCCTCCCCCTCCCCCTTACTGGCGATCCTAGAATTCTGTGCGCATAACATAGGTTTCCAATTACTGAAAAAAGTATTCATTGCCCTATTTAATGAAATTACGCACTAACAAAATCTTGAACCGCGCGAAAGGAAATAGCAATGAGAGGATGAACATAGTCTACTGCTTCTCATGCTAGTAATTTTCTTGATTATTTTAATTTTAGGTCACACCAAACGGTCCTGCCCAATGAACAGATAACAAAGGTATTCTGTCGCTACTCCGTAACCTCTGTACATCTATCGGTGTGTATCGACAAATATTGTATAATACTTTCAAGACTCGTTGCGATTACTTGTAAATCAGTTTTCGATGGCTTTTGTTTAATATGGCACGTTTTAATCTGAAATGTACTTGGAAAGAGCCAATTTTCGAAATTTAGAGGTCATGCGTTGTTAACCTATATCATTTTACTGTCCACATCAATAAAACATAAAGAACAAAGGAACCGTGGAGGTCATGTCATATATGTTGTTTATAATTCTCAAGCCCGCTTTTTGTCGGGTGATCACTGTTAAAGTGGGTTACACGATCCAAGATCTCTTGCTCTTCCTTTCAGTTTTGCTTGTATCTGAATGATCTAACATCCCTTGGTCTTCAGATAATATTTCCAAACGCGTGAGTACCAAAATATGAAAAACAAAATTTATAAGAAGTTTAATTTCACCCAAACGCACCAACAACGCAAAAAATATATCTTGGTAATATCTTAGTGAAACTGTAAAATTGCGTCTTGCACTTAACATAGTAGTTTGATAACAACCATGACAAGAAGTGCTTTGAACAGCCTTCTTTGTTTTAGTTCATCTTGTCCGCTGCTCATCTTTAGTGCTGCAGTCTTTACACCAGTTCTTTTTTCTTGTCGTTTTAACGCCGCATTGCACTCCTCGTCTTCTTTTGAACACTGTTCTTTTCCTGTAAAAAAAGGTTTATCCAGTTAATGATCCACTATTTCAACAACAAAACCCAGTGCTCTTCATAAGTGAACGTGAATTTTTTAATCGCAGACTTCGAACGGAAATCCCAGACACTCCGTCACTGCTTTTTTCATGCACTATGCAAGTACAATTTTAACCTAAATGTATCATTACCGCAAAGTGAAAGCAACACGTGGGCACGCCAAGTCTACCCTGGGTGCCAGAGACATCCATTTGTTTTATATGGACCATGGGAAAGAAGTGTTGATGGCGCAATGCGTTTCCCAAACCATCGCCACATTATCCAAGAAATTAAATTTTTAATCACGAAGAGACAAGAATCTTTCATTGTCTATAACTCAAGTAAACTATCGTTAAATTGTTTGTCGGGAACTCTGAAAGTATTTGTATTCGTGAAAATAGCTGAAAGCAAACTTACTTGAACAGTAGAAGCCATCTCCGTAAAATCCCTTCTTACAAACACAGAGATAAGAGCCATCGGTGTTGTAGCAGTCAGCCCAGTGATGGCACTCAGCGAAATTCTGCTGACACTCGTTTACATCTGTTGAATAAACAGTTAGAAAACCAAAGTTCTTGAGTTCTAGAGTCAAAAGGTGATAGTGCAGGAGTGATCCTATGTGAATGTTATGTACAGTGAGAGTTCTCACTAAGTTTTAAAGTAGACAGCTAGGATGTAAATGTAGGCGGCTTGTCAACTGAGTGCTGCAGGCAATTTCAGGCTTTCACTTTTTCTCTTTACCCTGTTTCCCCGGCTCAAACCTCAAAGTAGCTGGTTTTTTACTAGCTGCCGCAACTTAACGCTGACAATTGCTCCATTCCACAGTTTTCACAATATCATGAACAACTACGTAATCATCAGAATTGAAGTAGTTTATAAATGACTATTTTACGAACTTTATGTTAGGCACCTGTTAAACCTGCCGTATAAATTACCCATAATGCAATAATTTGCTGGTTGCTCACAACATAAGCTTCGTAATCTCGAATTTCTAAAATAGCATTTGCATCAAAATTATCAAGCTGACTGCCGCTAAATTAATAATGAAAAACAATACAGGATTAAAGACAAAAAAATACACATAAAAGACGATTTATGGAATAACATTACTCATTACATTTGAAACTGTGGCTTACGAGAGGTTATAGTTACAGTGCTTTGACAGAAAAATAACTGGTCTTAGGTAAAGATTTGACTGGACTGTATTGCTTTTGGTACATGCTAGGCTCCAAATGTACTGTGACCTTATACAGTTTACACTGACAAGCACGTGAACCAGGCAGGGTAACACATAGCGAATCCTGTTCACACGCCTTTAGGATTTAAACAATGTCAGAGTAGAGTACTTTGGAAGGATTTAAGTCGTTACCATGACATGAGTTATCCGTGAGGTGATATCCCAGTTTACACTGACAAGCATATGAACCAGGCAGGTTAACACACAGCGAATCCTGTTCACACGCTTCAGGATCTGTAGCACATTCGTCTAAGTCTGTAAATTATTAAAGCAAATGCAAACACAGTGACAAACAAAACAAGTTAGTGACAACCTCAGAAACTCAGATTGTTCTATTTTCTGCACTGTTGCTGGATTTTACTAGATATACATTACAATATATTATAAAAACAGAAAAAAGGGAAAACAAATTACATTAAATGTTGAAAGATAAAATATGGGCAATGTCCAGTATAGCTTAGACCTTCGATTTGGTCACTGCCACGTGCAATTAACTGACGTAAACGTTTACATAAAACTAGAAGAAAAGGAGAAAGAACTATGATGTCCAGAACGATACCCGCGGGATCTCCCGCAGGATTCGAAAGGTAAGCGTTCTCCTTCGTCGAACGCAATAAATAAATTATGGCCTAAATAGCGTATGTTCCCTTTTGGCAGTAGTTGTGCATGTCGCGTTCAACTTGGCCCTTTAGGTGATCTATGCAACATGAGTTAAGTATTACCTTGGCACTTTAAGCCTTTGGCTGCATATCCGTGTTTACAGAGACAAAAGTACGAGCCTATAGTGTTCACACACTTTCCATTGCTGCCACACCTTTTAGTCTTTCTCTGGCACTCATCAACGTCTACAAGACAACACGTAAACCTTAGTGTTCAAAGTCGTAAAGTTAAGGGTAAAGTTCATTTATGGATAACAAAGCAATTATCTAGCGAGTTGGTGTGTTGGTAAAACAGGATTTAAATCGCCCGGAATATTGTGACGGTGACTGGAGTGTAGTTTCAGTTTTTTTTCATGGTATTGTCAGTAATACGTAATGGCTGGTACTGTTTGTAGCCAGAAGCAGTTGTAAAGTTATATGTGCGTTGAAAAGGTAATGAAAAAAAAAAACGAATGAAAGAACTTGAACGAAAGTAGGAGGCAGCATGGTAGCCTCCCACAACGCGATCCTTCACCTACGAATGTTAGAGGGAATTGCGTGACGGGCCAAAAGAACGTCTGCTTATGAGGATAGCAGCATTGCAGAGTGATCAGTGAATCTAACTGGTAATGAAATCAAGGTTTGAAGTCCCGCTCTCATTGTTAGATAGGGTTTTTTTCGTTGGTCCTCGGTTTAACACTTTGTCCATGGTTAATGACCCTCTGCCAGTTGGCGCAATTATAAGCTATGTTACATTTATTTGCTTGTCATATTCTGGTAAACACTCGTTTCCATACTCTAAACAAAACATTCACATTTATTAGGCCAAGATGCATCTGTTAGCACCTGATGAAATGTCTCCCTATAAGGGACAGCACTGGCTGCAACATAGCAAAAGGCATAAGTGACACACCTACACACTGTAGTTTCCCTTCCAGTGAATACGATTCTGTGAATCCCACATTACAGAAACAAGCATATGAACCAAAAGCATTTACACAGGTGGAGTTCTCCTCACAATTATGGCTGCCGATCTTGCATTCATCAATGTCTAAACGGTGAGAAAAGAAAAGCAAATAACTTTACGGACTGACAGAACTGCTGCCTGGTTCGCTCAGTTGGTTAAGTGCTGGTCTGCCGAGAGGGGTGTAGCGGGCTCAACCTTGGCCATACCAACACTCAGTGGCTTTAAAAACTGTGGAGAAAGTGCTACCCTTGGAGTGAAGTATGCCAATTATTTATAGACTTTCTTGTCTTCTCGGATAAGGACGATAAACAATAAGCCCCTTCTCACAACCCTTGCTCGTATAAAAGAAATATGTGGGACTTTTAAAGAAACCCACACACTGTTCTGAAAGAGAAGGGCACATATTACCCGTTGTTGTGGTTGTCATTCAAATTAGGGAGAAACTGCACCAAAATTAAAGTAGTGTGAGGTCTTCTACGTGTTGGAGGACGTTTACCTAGGCAACAGGTAGTGAGGTAATTTGCAATTTACCGTCTGGCCCTATCACAACATGCAATATTCTGTTGCTTTGATATTTAATGCAAAGTGTACCTAGACATTGTTTTCCATCTGCTTTGAAGCCTGCCTCTTTACAGTCACAGATATATGAACCCACTGTGTTAATGCACTCTGTCAAGTATGGGCACACATCTCTTGGGTTGGCACATTCATCAATATCTGAAAATGACGCACACATTACGCATCAATGACGGCTGTACTGGAGGCTTTTAGTTTCTATTACAGTCGACTCTCTCTTAACGGACACCTCTGTAAAACGAACACCTCTGTAAAACGGACACCTAGAGTTGGTCCCTGCCTTTCTTTACTCCCTTTATTTGACTCTCTATAAGACGGACATCTCTCTTAGACAGACACTTAGTACCGGCCCCAAAGGTGTCCGACTTAGAAAGAGTTGACTGTATTCCGAAACTGGTTCTCTTACATAGTGATCGAGTTGATCTTGATGATAAGGGGTCAATTTTCCACACTTTCTTTTCTTTGCTCTCTAAGTTTTTCCTTTGTAATAATACGTAATATAACTCTCAAAAATCCTTCCAAGATTTCAAGATCAGATGAGAAGTCTCAAAAGGCCCATGGGGTAATTTGTAAAACCATTTACCGCTTCTTAAATTTCACTGACATTCTTTAAAATGGTGCATATATGTTATCATTAGTTCAATTAGTACCTTTACATTGGTTTCCATCTCGAGTCGTGCCTTGTTGACACTCGCAGACGAATGATCCTGGGACATTTTTGCACAGACGGTCCGGCGATCCACACACATTGTCACCAACGCTACATTCGTCCACATCTGTAAAATTGTTGGACAAGAGACCATGTTACAGTTGTGGGCTTATTATTCTAGCCTTTGAGTGAAAGTAGTGAGGGAGGTTGACCTCGTTTTGATACAAACAAGTCTTCCTTTTCTTTTGGAAATTATGCTCTTCAAAATACTTAGTTAACATAATTTATGAACAACGTGATTTATACAATAAAAACAGTCAACTTCAGTCTCGTTTCCACCTGTAATTGTAAAGTGGACTATTGTCCAAAGCGGAAAACACCATATATTCTTTAAGGGCCTGTTTACATGGAGGTGTGGGACCCCAGATTACCATGTAAACGTGATCAAGTTAAAATGAGAGATTATGTGGACAGGCGGGTTACCCATCAAAGCGGGTTACCTCACCTACCTGGGGTCCCCCACCTCCATGTAAACAAGCCCTACATTCCCGTTTGGGTGGTGCTACATAAACTTCGTAAACCCCACATTTGTAATATCTTTTGCTCTTTGCATGTGCAATGTATCACCTTTAATACGTAAATTTGCGTACACGGCACGTGCAATCTATTTTTAAATGAGCACCACCAATGCGGATCGATCGGCTAAAGCTATTCCCGTGATCCTTTCAAACGCGTTTTAAAAGTGAATGCAACTGTCATGAGTTAAAATTGCATTTTAAAAGCGTTTCGTTTACTAAACGTAATGGCCGAACATCAAGATTATCCAGTGTTACACTGAAAACTCCATCCTAAAATATCTCCATAACGCTCTCATAGATTTCGCTCAAACTTCGCCAACATTGAGGCAGCTATTGGAGGAAAATGCTCCCGTGAACGACTTTGGAAAAAAAATTCCCATTAAGAACAAACTCTGCAGTTATAAAACTCCAAAAAGTGGTGAGCTGTTTCTGAGCGAGAAACATTCCTGAAAATTTAATTAAGAAAAAAAAAACCTTAGCACATACGACTGAAGCTTACAGCTGCCAACGGTTTCGCATTTCACGTATGAACTCAGTGCTTTGGTTTGAAAGATTTGCAATCTTCTCATTTGAAATTGGAATTTGGACTCTTAATAATGCAATTCTTTCCCCATTTTTTGACCGGGACGCGCTGTAAAAAAAACAACAACTACTACTTCCCCGGACGTTTCACTTGCGGGTTTTATCCCCCTTTTGAACTACACGGAAAGGTTTTCCGGAAATATAACCATAACAATACCTTCACAGAAAAAGCCGTCTCCTTCATAACCTCTTCTGCACCAACATGTTCTAATGTGAGGCGAAGCATATGATCCTATCACTAACCCTTCACCGCTACACAAATGCTGGTCTTCATGGTTCAAAATATTGCCTGCTAATTTTTAGTAATGAAAAATGTTTATCACCTGTCTGTGCATACTACGAACATGTTAACCATGACAATAATAAGTTAAAGTTATGTGGTTGGTACTCCAAATAATGGCCCATAAGGGGAGGCTCCGCCCCAAACAGGTACCTTTTTCATGCCTCGGATATTTGAAAGGGGGGTAGTGATTTCACTTGTTGAAGTATATGAAAGGGTAGGGCAATTAATTTCCCGACCGCTGGTTAAGGGGAACGAAGACGCTGGGTACGATAGTGAGGGTAGGGAAATCTGTCATTTTCGTAGGTAAAAAGTCCCTAGGGCTAACAGATGCATTTTATGGCTATAAAAAAGTTGAGAAAAAGTACTGGTTTTGTGATAGCGGAGCACCATGGGTAAGAAAATTTGGTAATCACGTGATCGTACGCCTTAAATAAGACGCGAACTTTCCGTATAAACGGTACATTTCGTCTAAAATAAGACGCGGCTTAGCTAAGACGCGTCTTATTAGATAAGACATGCTCGTATAAATGGTATAGTTCGTGTCTTATTTAAGACGCGTCTTATTTTTCCTCGTATAAATGGCCCTAATGAGGCCTACGGACAAGGCAAAACGGCTGACAGTGGTTCCGTACAGTCCTTCGCTACCATTAAAAACACTGGACACGGGAATTTTGTTATTGGCCGTTTTCACACTAGAGCTAGAAACGGATTATCCGTCTGAGACTAGCCTGTGTACAGTCGCCCCCTTCCCGAAAGACACCCCTCTCGATTTTTTTTCTGAGGGGAATGGGCGGCTGTACACAGGCTATCTGAAACGGATAATCCCGTCTTCAAACTGTCCGTCGAAGTTGAAGGATAAAGTCAGGCGGATTGTTCACGCAAAATTAAAACTATACCATTTTCAAATTAAGACGTATTACCTATCTGACGCGAATCGTCAAACGGATAACCCGTCTCACACGAATAATCCGTCTCTAGTGTGAAAACGGCCATTTCTGTTGTAATGAATGTCGCGCCCCGGCCTTGAGTTAGGCGTTCGCGTGTGTGCTTTGCTTACATACCGATATGGGTAATGTATGGGAGTACCCCCCCGGGCATCAGCACCTTCTCAGCTCATCATGCCATCCTCACCACACTAAGAAAGCCATTCCGTTCAGCTTAGCCCTGCGCCTCCGCCGTATCTACAGACGCTAAGTTTAAACATCGCATTAATGAACTTAAAACATATCTCCTTGCTCGTGGTTATAATAATAATTTCCTAGAAAAACAGGTCCTACGCGCTGCTAATATTTCTCGTATTAACGCGTTACAGACTAAACCCAAAGCTTCCAACGATGTTTTACCATTTGTTGTCACATATAACCCAGCACTTCCACGCATTTCTAATATCCTACGCAAACACTTTAACATCTTACACTCCTCTAACCGGTGAACAGACGTCTTTAAGCAACCGCCTTTTGTTGTTTACAGACGTAGCTCTAATCTTCGTGACCTTTTAGTTAAAGCACAACTACCCGTTATCTCCACCGATCATTTTCCGCCAGGCTCCTTCCGTTGTGGACAGAATTGTGCCACTTGTCCATACATTACTAACGGCCTCACAAGTTATACCTATACCTTTTACGCTACAGGTGAAACACGCTCCATCACTTCCCCAATTATTCGTAACACTAAAAATGTGATCTACATGGTTCAATGTAACCGTTGTAATTTACCATATATAGGTGAAACTAAGCGACGTCTCAAGGACAGATTTAACGAACAGCAGACGTGCGGTCGACAAAACTAACATTAAATCTAAACCCACTACTGTTTCTGAACACTTTCTCTCTCACTCTAACCATTCTCACAGGGGCACCCAACGAGGATATAGTCCAAAACCACCTAACATAGCATTGTTGAACGTATTTTAGTATTCAAACGGTAGATATAGGCATATTTTTATCCCCTAAAAACTTTTCATCTGTTCGGATTTCCTAGCTGAAAGTAGTCTAGTGATCCGAAAATTATAGGGATAAAAACTTACGTTCTCGAAAATTTTAGCCAGGAAAAGGCTCTCGAAAATTCTAGGTGGCCTTTTTTAGGGTCAAAATCCTTTAAAAATGGGTAATTATACCATTTTGTAGATGTTCGAAAATCTTAGGAGAGGCAGGCAAGCAAGAAATTTTACAACAAATGCTCCGAAAATTCTAGATCTCAAATCGTCTTCCGAACAGATATTTTCCCGAAAATTGCCGTTGGGTGCCCCTGATTCTCATACTGAAATGCAGTTAATCCCACTAGAGAAAATTCATTCTTCACGTGACTCAGTTCGTAAGGCCAGGGAGTCGCATTTGATATAAGGCCATGACTCTTGAACCTCATGACCTAAACCGCCGTGACGAATTATTGTAATCCATATCCTTAGTATTTTTCCTTTCCAGTTTTTCTGTTGTACGTCATTTCCGCCTCTCCCTTTTATTGCGACATTCTCCATTTATATAATATTGTGATTGCTACATAAGTTCAGTAACATCTGTAAACCTGAAGAAGGCTGGTATGGCTAGCCGAAATATTGTCATAAAAAACAATACACGTTGTTTGAAATCAGCTTTGCAGTACTCTTTGGACTTCTAGTTCTTAATTAATATTTAACTTTTTGAAACAAAAGAAGTTAATTTTTAACTTTTTGTTAACCGTAACTGAAAAAAATTAGCCGATAGCCGTAAAAGAGCCAAAATTTTAGCCGACAACCGTGAATGCCACCACCCCATTGAGACCCTCTTTTCATTGCCTTCCCCACTTAGCATTACACGATTTATTTTATAAGTATTATTAACCAGAGCTTCGCTATTAGTCCTGGCTAAATCCATATATTTTATTCCAATTTTAAAGACAGTCCATTTACCTCGGAAAGGGTCATATCCGTAAACCTCAACCCTGAGGCAACTCCTGCGATGCCACGTGTGCACATAAAAGCGAACTCCTCTAGTACCCCAAGTAGAGATTGGTAAATGATTTAGTACCACATCCAAAGGTGCGTCTTGGTTGCAGCCTTTAAAAACCTGCAACATGAAAATGATTAGCAATTTTTCACATTTTTTGAGTTTGATCCTTAGATAAGTTTCATTAACAATTCTGAACTTTAAAATTGTATCTGAACGAGGGCTGATGACGTCATGTAACGTCTGTTGATTTGCTGGGCCTTAGCTTCTGATTGTGGTCATTGCTTTGTGCTTTGTAGACTTTCAAAAAAGTCCTTCGTTTTGGCGCGAAATGCAACTACGTCACAAAGACTGAAACCACATGAACTCCCTCGAGTGCCACTATGTTTGATTCAACGGTCGAACCTCAGCAATTAATATAACCCCTCTCTAACATTTGACCCAAAACGGTTCGAGAATCACGACGCTAAAACAATCCAAATGTAGGTACGGTAAATTCTTTTTAGTTTATTTTGACCGTTATTGTGACATTGAGAATCGAAGAAAGGTAAAAAAGGGTATCTTTATTTTCCAAAGAAGTTAAAATGCTAGAAGTCTAGAAACTATCGATAGTTCGCTTCACTGTCGCGATTATTATCGATTCATCGCTATCGCGGCGTTATGCACCAGACAAAGTAAACCCCGACCATCCCCCCCCCCCCTGCGGGATATAGGTGGGGATTGGTTCTGAGCAGGCCTGGGCTCTGAGTAGAGAACAAACCCTTAAAAATACCCTACAAATGCCATTTTATGGAAAATGGCAGGAATTGCCCCACCCCCCTGAGGCAACTGAAAATGTTTCCTAGTGTGAGTTGTTAAATTCCCTTACAAAATGAAAATTTCACAACGCAGTTGAGTCCACAATTAATGTCAGTTTGCTGCTGTTTTAATATATTTTTGAAAGACTAGGGCAGTCACATTTCATTTCATATTCAATGCAACTGATAATGCATTACAACGCCTAATGTTTGCACTGTTCGCAAAAGCAAGAACCATCGCGAATAGTTTCTTCCGAGAGACCAACACAGTTTGCATGGTACCATATAAGTGGGCAATTATCTCCATCACAGTCTATCATCCGCCCGCAAGGCAATAGGCATCTGCTTGGGTTGCTGTAAGACAGAGGGTAAAATTGTGAGGAAATCAACAAGTTGTCTTATTTAATGGCTAAAAAAAGGTACAAAATACGAACGTTCAAAAATACCATTCTTTCTTGACTTAAACTGCTTTTTTGCTGCTGCTCATTTTGCTCCCTCCCTCGGGGGGCGACATCTGCTATTTGGAGAATATTTGCGGAGCTGGACAAACCTAAACGTGCACTATCGAAGATGAACTTAACATCGATGGATCGATGGAGGTAAGCATGTTTTAGCCATGTTTTTAAACTAGGAATTATTTTGAATGAATAATAAAACAATTATTGAATTCGGCTTTCGTATCATATGAAGATCTCGGAGGGTGTTATCCGCCTCGGCCATAACACCCTCCTCGATCTCCATAATTCTTCATAAGATACTCAGCCTCATTCACTAATTGTTAAATAACCACCCTTTTCTGTTTCTGCACAAGATTTGGGTGGTGAGAAAGACACCTGAAGGAAAAAATGATTGCAGGAAATTGAGATGTCAAATAGAATTACATTTGACTCACCATGGACAAAGCATGCACACGTCTTGTGTTCCAACAAATAAACATAGACGCTTTTTTTTACAATATTTCGCCCACTGCTTGAATACCAATTTCTTTTAGAAAGTCTTTACTAATTTCACGGTGACCATATTAACTTGCGTTCTAGATATTAAAGAAGAAATCACCAACAAACATTGTTCATCCTCTCACTACAAAATGCGAAATGTGGTAAACTCCTCTTAGGGACTATCTGTGTGTTTTATGTTAATAATATTTAACAGTTCCCTTGTTGTTATGACACACGATCAAAATATACATCTTAAGTGGATTTTAAAGTTGTGTAATGTACAATAGAGACCACAGAGATAAACAGAAATAGTTGTTTTTCTTTTCTCATTTATGAATAAATACATGTACAGTTATTTCGAGAAAGGTTGTCGGAAAAAATGTGCACGCGACAATCCCGAAAGGTAATATGGGATATGATCAATACACCGTTCCTAACGACTGTAGCTGTCGAACCTACTTTGGTTGCTTTCCTTTAGCAATCGCAAACATAACATCGCAAACGTCCCGTGCCATTCTTTTAAACTTCTTTGAAGAACAGTGCACTCAAAACCACCCACAATACCTTTCGCGATTGTTGCGTGCACTTTTTCCGACAACCTTTCTCAAAATAGCCGTATACACAGAATTACTTTGCATGACACGAATGACAATTTATCTTAAGTGTCAAACCATTATTCCTCAGCTGTTTCACTATCTAAGTATATAAAGACTTTAACAAAAAGCTCTGCATACTCTCGTACTCTTTTACTCACGCTTCATGGAGGAAATTTTTCCTCCTGTGAACAATACAAACAATCAACAAGCGCATTGTGTTCAACGACCAGAAAAACAAAGATTTATCCGCTACCTGAATATCAATGAACTATTAGCCTTTGTAAATCCATAGGGTAAATCAATGGATATACTTCATTTGAATAACAATAGCAAGGATTCCAAAAATACTTACCAGGTCAAACTGTCTGCTGCCACCTTGGGTTCCACCTGGAGTATCATACCCAGAAATCTTTGCAAAAGTAATGGTCGCCATCTTGGAATCCCCCTAAATCATTGCAGGAAGACTAGCCGCCATCTTGGATATTTCACCGAATCCCGACCAAAGCCCCACCCCACAAAAAGGAGCGCCAAAAACTCGTGAATCCTCCACCTGCTCGAAGAGCTGCCAATAACGGACCAAATCCCTACCAAACCTCCACATATCCCGGGGTGGGGGGGTCGGGGTTTACTTTGACTGGTGCATTAATATCGCGATTAATCGATGGTTAATTGTCACAGCCTTAGTCAGCACAGGGTCCCTAGGCGGCAAAATCAGGTTGTGAGCCCAGGGGGATGACGGGGATGCTCTTCGTCTCCGTTAGGGAGTGGTGTAAATTGCAAATTTTGGTGTTCCGGATGGAAAGTCGATACATTTACCCATTCAGGTATTGCTTGGGGTTGCTGTGCACAAAGACATTTACAAAAAATGCCCTGACACTGACCACAAAGGAATCTCCTTTAGGGGTCAGTTTAGCTTGCGCCACACACTGCCACATTGGTCTCCCTTAGGGGTTTAATTTCCCGGGGGGGGGGGTACTCCCTTATATAAGCCATGTAGGTATGTGCCGCCCCATCGGGTTGGGTTTTTGCGCCGTTTTGGTCTGAAAACGGGTATAAAATTTGCCCATTTTCGTCTGGAATCGGGTATGGTTTTCGAGAGAACTACGGAGTGTATGAACGTATTTATCGTTTCAATTCCAAATAAGTAAGGAAAGAAATTTGAAATGGATTTGAATAACCTTTTTGTTTGCGCTCTAATCTATGTAATGATAACACAAAAGCCAGGTCTGAAAACAGGTATGGATTTTAGAGGTCTAGTCTTAAAACAGGTGTGGAAAATTGGCTATGCATTTTTGGTCTGAAATCGGGTCAGGATGTCAGAAACTGGGTGGCACACCCCCACCAAGAATTCCCCGGAGCTTCCACCCCCCTGGGTTTAATTTTAAGTTTCCAACGATGATCCCTGTCACTATAAAAGGGAATGCCCCTGGGGCTTTGACCACAACCTGATCGTGTTATACATGAACACAAGCTTATAAATACGGTAGTTATAACAAGAAAAATTAACTCCCACCTTTCTACCTGTCAAGTCATGAATATATACCCAGTTAATGAAGTCAAAAGTAGTGGACAGATAGTACTGGGTTACACAGCTTGAATCACTTTTGATTCCCTGTGTGGCAACAGCTGTCAAAGCCACG